CACCATCCTCCCCAGACTCCGTCCCATGCCTACGACGCTTCGCCGTAGCCACCACCACCTCATCCTCAGACATACTCGTGGGTGTGATTCCACCACCTCCCTGACCCCCATCTACCGCCTCAATCATTCGTGGCTTCACTACCAATGGACGTGGTTTCCCGCCTACCGGCACGAGCCAGCTATCTCCAACCGCTCTAGGAGCGCTCCGGGACCCACCAGCCCGCATATCCGGACCGTACAGGTACCTTTCCACTGGAATTCCCGCCTCCCTAGCTTGTAGGCAGAAAGTATGCAAGTGACCCATATAACCACAAAAGTAGCAAAACTTATGCAGCCGTTCATACCTGAAATTTACCCATGTTGTAGTCCCATCTCTCTTCATTAACCTCATCCTTCTCCTAAGCGGCCTATCAACTGAAATTGATACCCGAATACGGTGGAAAGTTAACCATGGTGCTCCTTCAAATCTCTCATCATGCTTAACAAAAGAGCCCAAAAAATTCCCCGCCTGTTCCAGAATTGCCTGAGATGTGTACCCCTTCGGCATGTCATGCAGCTGTACCCACATATCAATCATATCCAGCTCCACATCCACAGGATTCATCCCATCCAACACTTCCCAACACACAAGTGCATTATTCTCAAAAGCCCAAGGACCCCCATTCAGAACATAGTCCATATCTATTTTATGGAAAAAAACAAACAAGAACAAACCCCTCTGAATCTCCGTTACCTGTACCCCACGCACCGGCTGCCAAACTGACGTTAACACCTGCCTCATAAAATCCAGTTTAATTAACTTTTGCGTCAAAAAGCGCCCGACCACCCTCCATGTCTCCTCCTCTCCTTCCCCGCCTCCCTCAACCCCGTCATCCTCCCCTCCCGGCATAAACACCGCACCCTCCTCCTCTAGCAGTGCCCATTCCGCCCACCTATCCCTCAACTCCGCCACACCCGCCCCCACCCCCGGCTGCCCTACTGCCCCCCACCTCCTCCCTCCCTCGCTGCCCCCTACTGTCCGTTCCCCTCCTACCCGAACCGCCCACAACATCATATGCCATGCTGCCACCATCCCCATTCAATGCGCCTTGCCAACCAAACTCACCGCCAACACCCCCTCTCCCTCTTTCGCGTTGTACGCCCTCCCCATGCAACACCTCATTGTTTCGGATTTCCCCATTCAATGCGCCTTGCCAACCACCGCTATTTCGCTCGCTCTGTACGTTTTTCCCATGCACCACCTCATTATTTCGGTTTTCCCTCCCAGCCAAAACTGCTCCACCGGCTCGCCGCATTCCCTTTTCCCCTTCTCCCGTTCGGCGCAAATCAGTTCCCTCCGGCAGCCTTCCGCCGTTCCATTCATCCACAGCTATCGTCTCCTCCTCACGCCCAATCAATTCGTCATCCATAGCAACGTCTCCGGCCATCGTCCGGACAGAAAGAAACCGATCACCGTTGAAAACCTAGGAAAACCCTAGTAGGAATTGCAAAAACCCTAGAGAGAATCTAGAGAGAAAAAATACTGCAGTTTTCCACACTAGTGGTTCAAATGGAGTTATTTCTACAATAAATCGCTCAAGCCAAAAATAATACTTGATGTGGGAATGAGTTATTTGGAAAAGAATGAGCCTGCAAATGAAGGAAGCATGTCAGATTTAACAAAAAAAAAAAAATGAATAATTCACGATGTGCGCGTTTAGCGCACAGCATGGCCACAGCCGCACGTGCGTCTGGTGCGCTGAACGGTGCACCTGACATACACTTTTATTATTATTTTTTTATTTAAAAAATTCAGTTTTGTTTTGTTTTTGTTTTCTCCCCCTCCCACATTCTCTTTTCTAATCACTCTTACATTCTCCCCACATTCTTCCCAACTGATGCAGATGCTCTTATATCTTAACTTTAACAAAAAAAAAAAAAAATTAAAAAACCCAAGTTAGGTGGCCCCTCTCAACATTGGGCCCTGGGTGGGTGCCCATGAGAAATTATTGTGTGGGTCATGGTCCACACAGTGTTATGTGGACCATAACAAAAAGTACATTTTAATATATTGAATGTACACTATTTTGTACTGTATATACATTATACAATATAATGTACACTCAATACAAAAATAATGTACATCCCCTGAATATAATGTACATTATTTTTGTGTTGAATGTACATTATTTTTGTACTGAATGTACATTATTTTATAGTATATAAAATATGGTCCACACAACTTTTATGAACCATGATCCACACAATAATGATTGGGTGCCCATCTCGCCCTCATCAGGGCCGACCCTGCCTAAATGCACAAACAAAGCAAATAAGAGCTCTTTTGACATAACATTTACCTTTTGGGGCTTGAAAATATGATTAAATATGGGGTTAAGTGTATGTAAAATGTATACAAAAATACAATCAATACTTGGCGTTCCCTCGGGCCAGTTCACTTCGAACCCGTCTCCAATATATCCATCAATGAGTATGCATGATGTTTTTTTTTTTTTAAATTATTATTTCAATAGAAAATTTAAAATTTACAAGTGTTAATTTTGTTAGACAAGGAAATATAATTTGACACACTTATTCGTTTGTCAAAACTCTCTGTTTATACAATTTAATAATTATATTTTTGGACAATGCCCCTGTTGAGCTGAATGGTTTGCTCGGTGTTGGTCCTCGTAGTACGCCTAACTTAAGAATTAGATAATGCTCTCTTGTGAGGGTTTCAAATGTACGGAAAAAATATATAATAAACTAAAAGAAGAATGTGATTTGATATAGTGATATGCCTTACATCACGATTCACGACACATTCTCTATCACTGTACTAAATTTTATGATGTATTGACATTATAATTACCCACTTCTTGGTTAGGACAAACATATTTTGTCCCTTTCTACATTTGAGTGAAATTACTCGTCGAGCTAATGAAACTAGACTACAACAAGCTCCATTATTTGGGCCTTTAAACCAAACTCACTTCTCATAACCCCAAGTGGAGTTATTACATGATTAGCTGGTAGTCAAAGTATCTATAATTAATAATTTAATGCATATGAAAATCTCACACCGTTCATAGATAGAGGCCAAATTGTCAAGTTGGTTCAGTATGTGTCACAGCATCAGGCGTCAGCCACGAAAGAAAAAGTTAAAAAAGAAAAAAAGAAAAAGACAGCAATAGCCAATAGGGACAACCCAGCTAAAATTACCACGATGATAATTTTGTGGTTAAAGTATCTATTAGGTCCTTTACCATCGTTATATCCTACACCACGGCGCACATAGCACTGTGCGCCGCGCGCCTCCCAAAACGACGTCGTTTTGGGGTAGTGTTGGGAGGCGCGGTAGGAAGTTGCTGAGATTATGTGTATTTGTTCACAACGTTATGTGTATTTGTTCACAACGTTATGTGTATTGGTTCATACAGTTATGTGTATTTTTTATATAATTATGTACATTCTTTTATACAATTATGTACATCCGAATCATAAAATTTGTGTGTATTATGTTAAAAGTTGATGTGTATTATGTTAAAAGTTTATGTTTATTATGTATTATGTTAGATTATGTGTATTATCTTTTAAAAAGAGTATGTATATTTTGTTATATAATTATGTACATTCATGTATAACATTATGTGTATTCTAGTATAACATTATGTACATTCTTGAACAGCGGGTTTTTTTTTAAAGAAAAAACTACTGCCATTCACTGGGGCGAGAAATTTCAAAAAAAAAAAAAAATTAAAACGACGTCGTTTTGCATCTGGGCGCATAGTGCAACGCGCGCCGTGGTGTAGGATATAAATTGCCGGTCCTTTATTATAGTCCTTTGTTCAATTTAGTCATTCTAGCTTAATTTTGTTAAATTTAGTCCTTGTACTTTTAAAAGTGAAACAATTAAGGACAATAGCTGATGTAACGCTAACATTATATCTGTCACGTCATCATACTTACATGCTAACTCATATATTATTTTATAAATATTTAAAATTAATTATTTTTACCACCAATATATTACATTAATATGTCCAAAATAAATACATAAATATAAGCTATTGTCCTTGTGTTTCACTTTTAAAAGTACAGGGACTAAATTGAACAAAATTAAGGTAAAATGACCAAATTGAACAAAATAGTATAGTATAGGGACCTCATAGGTACTTTGACCTAATTTTGTAACCACAATATTTTAAATTTAATTTTTAGTGAAGTTTTTTTTTTTTTTTTTTTTTTTTTTTGAATTGGTCAGTTATAGGCAATATGTACTGATTTATTTTATTGTAGTCATTTGCCAATTAAAGTTACAAGTCAAGATTTACCCAGTACACATTCTCACACTACAAGTTTCACTCAAAACAGAGACATCCAATAGGTGGTTGGACTGATTTAGTAATCACAAGGTTTTAAATTTGACTCCTAATGAAAGCGGCTTATTAATTTTATTGATTTAAGTTGGTTAGCTATGACTATGAGCTATACTAATTTCCTATTTTGTGATTTTTTACCAGTTAAAATCATAAGTTCTTATTTATTTAGTAAACTCCATCCCCTAAAAAATAAAAGGTAGTTAAGTTGGTTCAATAATATATTGTAGGTAAGCACGCACGATTGAGTTTTAACAACCGCAATGTGAGAATCACAGTTAAATTGGTTCAATAATATATTGTAGGTAAGCACGCATAATTGAGTTTTAACAACCGCAATGTGAAAGTCACGCTTAATATAATGGTCTCTTTATAAACATAAGTATCCTCTCACTTAATGTTGAGTTATTGTAATTTATCATTTCTATATAAATTTTGTTAAATCGGGGCGTAGGGGTTGGACAAATGATTTCACCTATAGTGAGCAAGAAAAAAAGAGACAGCCAATAGCATGAAACGGATGTGGGAAATTGATGGCAAAACGGAAAAAAAGAGCGGTTTGTATATGAAGACAAATGCAAACCAATTTTCAAGTCTTTGAATATGATCTTAGCGACTGAAACCCCATAATTCACGCTCTCCACCATTGCCCATCGTCCAATCTGATGCCCACTCTCAATTCCCCCTTTCTTGATCTGTAAAGACACAGATTATAAATCGAGTTTGTTACATAGGCACGAAAACATAGTATGTGTGTTTGTGTGTGTGTTTGACATAGCACAAGCTTCTGTTGTGTTCGAAAAAAAAGTTTTGGCAACATCACATACTACAGACCGACCGCAAGCGATTCTAACCTTAGTTAACAAGTCAAGGAATGAATCAGAATTTTTCGGCCTTTCGGCGGCTTTTCCTCGTCCCTGTCCACAACAGGCGCAAAACTATCATGCCAGTTTTGACATCGCCGCGGCCAGCGGAACAAGTGCGATAGATGTCTCCGTCCGGTGGTTATTTCTCCCCTCTCTTTCTGTTGTTATTGATTTCCGGTACTATGATGCCCCATAATTGCATGGCGGCTCTGTCGCCCGACCGCGACGATGTTCTCGCCGCTCATGTTCCTTTGACCCGTCTTCAATTACATACTGGAAGAGCCTATAATATCACCGATAAGAATTACTGGGCTGTGAGTCTCTTTCCCCTGCGTGCCCATGTGTTCTCTTTACGATACGATGTTGTGTTTTTTAACGTCGTAGTTGTCGAATTTTGCAGGCTAGCGTGTTTTCAGGAATCCATGGATATGTTATCGCGGGTATTTGGTTGTTGATTGGTCTGGGTTTTGGGTGTTATATAATCGTCAAGAATTCCAGACCCAGCTCTGCATCCATTGTTCAATATCCGGATTCTTCATACATACTGTTTTTCTCATTCATTGTCTTCTTTTCCATTCTAGCCATGTAAGTGTCTGTTAACTCTTTGTTCTTTAATTTGTGTGTGGATTCATACTCCAATTCAGATGCCATTTCTGAATCTTTGAAGTTTTTGCACTATTTTAATAGCACAGTGAAGCTAATTTGGGTAATATAACACATAGAATGTTAAAGATTTATGCTTTGGGAATAACCCAACCCGAGTTGGCTAGGCAATTGGCTCAGTAACCGTGAGATCCTAGGTTCGACCCCTAGCCTAACCAAATCCTTGATTTGAGTTGGTCAGACAACGTAAGCTGGCTTACCTCATTGTGGTTCTTTGCCACAAGGTGGGCTTCATCCGGTGCGCACTTTCTATAAGTGGCTGCGGGCTTATCCGTAATTGAAGATTTGTGCTTTGGGCTAAGCTGGTTAGATAGTTGGCTTGGTGACCATGAGGTCCCAGGTTTGACTTCTTGCCTAGCCTTCTTGGTTTGCCGGCTAGGATCACAAAAGGGGGTGGGGACTAGGGTCACAAGGCGGGCGGGCTTCCCCATTTTGTGCTTTTAGATAAAAACTATAGTCTTGAATAGCATAAGAGGGAACATAGGAATCTGATTGGTTTTCATGTTTTTTGGGGATGAAGGGTTGCAAGCAGCTTTGTTCTGGTAGCAGACAAGGGCAGCCTGCACAGAACCAAAAAGCTTACTGAAACTATCCTTGATGCTGGCTCTGATGCTCAGCGAACGATGCAAAGTACGAAAGGCATATTGCTAAGTATTCAGACTCTCATAGACCCGTACGACTCAAATACGAGCCATATGTTGAATGTGACAACACATATGCTGAGAAGAGACTCGCTATCAATTCAAAGCTTCATAGATAAAACCAGGCACTCGGGCAATGAAGCAATTGTAGCTTTGTGAGTTTGCCGTTTTCTGTCTTGTGTTCTTTTTCTTCTTGTGTTGAATATGCCATCCATAGCTTTTGTTAACACCTCTTCTTTGTTTCCTTTCAGATATGTTGCAAATCTCACTGTTGTGATTGCCAATTTGGTATTGCTGGTCGCTGCATTAGGTGAGATGCATAGCTATAATCCATAATTTGAGATTTCATGTGGTTTTAAGTTTGAAGTGTCAGTTTTTGAACCCCACTTTAACAAAGAAAACGAAAACCATGATATATGCATAGATAAAATAGTAAGTGCCCAAGGCACTGATTTCTCATATTTAAATCTGTGTTTGCCCGTCTTCGAGTTAAAGAACTTATGACACCTAGTTTTTATCTCTACTATTACTACCGTTTCTTTTCTCTAGAGCTTCATTTATATAAACAGTTCCTTCTAATGAAAACGTGATATACCACTGTGGTTAGACTAATGGAATGCTGCTTTGGCTCAGTTTCCTTCATATTCCGATGGCCTCTTGGACTCATAATGTAAGGTTTAGACACCATTTTGATATTGTCTTACCGTATAAACTTGGTATCCGAGACAACATCTTATGTTCTGCCTGTTCGCTCTCAGCATCATCTTTTGTTGTTGGATTTTGACAACGCTGAATTGGGTTCTGACTGGCATTAATTTTATCTTTCACAAGTGAGTGCAAGCTCCTCTTTCCTTCTCATTTCTTTGTGCACTTATCGTATTCAATCCTAACCAACACTTTTCGGTGTTCCCTGTAAAGTTATTGATTGCGTTGGAGAATACTATGCAGTTTTGCTGAAGACATCTGCATCGCGTTGGATGATTTTGAGCAGAATCCTGAAAGCAGTAGCCTGCAATCTGTACTTCCATGCGCTAACTCCACAAATTCGAAAAAATTGTTGGTGAAAATTGGTTATACAATCCATACTTGCATGTTTAAGGTGCTTTAATTAGTTTATCATAATAATATATCTGGACCGCGAATCTAAACTTTCTTCTCACCTAACAGCGCTAATGTTTGCTTCGATTTTCTGTTGTTTTCCCGTGATATATGCAGATTAACGTAAAGCTTACAGCGTTGCCAGCGCTGCAATCAGTGAGAAACGAGGAAGATAATTTTGGAGTTTGGAAAGTCTGTGACCCCTTCTCAGGCTCACCTAATTACACCTTCAATCCAAATCAATGCCCAGAGGATGCTATACCAATTGGAAACCTACCAACTGTAAGTGAAAACCGGTTCTCCTTTGTAATATTTGTTATGATCAAGCGTTTATCACTACGCCAAAAGTTATAGCTAGTAGCGAAGGCGCAACTTTATTTCCTTATACTGTCACATTTTCGAGAGGCATGGTTTTGGACTTGGCCCTTCAGGCCTCTGCCCAGCAATCCCCCTAGCCACTTGGCACTGGACTTGGCCCTTCACTGGCCTCCGCCCAACAAGATTAACGATTGGTCATGTTTTCCTGATAGATTCTGTCGCGGGTTACCTGCTACAGTTCTTCAAGAAACTGCCGGGACGAGGGTAGATTCATTCCAGAGGCCATATTTTACAAGTGCAGCGCTTTCAGTGAGTCTATGCAAGAACTGATAGACATCTTTCCAGATTTGGTGAGGCTGATTCAGTGCTCCAAAGTAAAACAAGCATTCTCAGACATTGTTCAAAGGCAGTGCAAGCCATTTAGGAAGACAGCACTGGAACTGTGGGCATCTATGTTGTCTCTCTCCATTTCCATGGTGTTTCTGACATTGTTGTGGGCAGCAAAAGCTTACCAGGACAAGGGGAAAAATTTCTCTAGGTGCTCCATTGTCCCAGATCGTGTTTAGGGATATGTTAAGGTTGTTTTTGAGTTCTGTTTGTAGAGTTGAGATCAGATGTAGATTTATTTGCCATCTGGCTGGGAGTTCAAGAAAAACTCCACTCCGTTGTTGCTCATGGAGGTTGCAGCTTAGGCTACACAGCCTCAGAATACTATCAAAAGTGTAAATATACACTGATATAACTATGGCAATCTTGAAGAATTCAACTTGCCATCTGCATTTGTAGTAACTTTGGTAATGTTTAGTTTAGTTTTAGTTCTTTAATCTTTACTCTTCCTCTGTATAAGAAAACAAAAAATATTGCCTTGAAAGGGGTTGGTGGGTGGATGCCCGTGACTAAGTGACTAACTGAGTGAAGCATGATTCTCATATATGAAGGTTACAAGTTCGATTTCTGCTAATGGCTATTTGGTAAATAGATGTTAGCTGTTAGCTAATTGAGTTATAGGGTTTGTCTAGTTGATAGCATTAGCTGATTGTAGAAAGATGTTTGCTAAATTAGCTGTTAGCTAATAGCTAATAGTTGATTACATGTAAAATGATTTTCTCAAAAAGTTGATTGGAAAAGTTGTTTTGACCGATTTTTTGAATTTAGCATTTTAGAGCAATAAACTGTTACAAAAAGTTAATTAATCAAACACTTATATTGAATGTTTAACCAAGTCAAACAGCTAATAGTGATCAAATAAGCCAAAATTGGTTGATAAACTAACTATATTACCAAATATGGCCAATATCTTTTTAATCGAGTCCATCACACGATGTTTTTCTTGTGTGGGTTACCTCTCTTGTGTAGCTTGTGAATTATTACACAAAAGAAAAGTTTACTCATTCTATCGTCGTCTAAAAAAGCAAAAACGACTAAAGTAGATTATTGCAAAAGAGCTTAAACAAAGTCCCAGTATAAAGAACTAGTCTGATGAGAGGCTTTAGAAGCTAAAGTATGAGCAATCAAATTTAACTGTCTAGAAACTAAAAGCAAAGAGCAAACAGTAAACGAAGACATGAGATCTAAGCAATCATTAACCCCAATCCCAATACGAGATCTATGCATGACAGCCGAGGTAGTAAGGTAGCGATGAAAAGCCGAACTGTCTGTGTGTAGAACAACGGCTGCTACTCCAGGATCTTTGAGCCACAAGAGAGCCTCCTTGCAAGTTAGAGATTCCGCCATAAGAGCGTTAGTGCAGAAAGGCAGGTGGCCGTTTGAGCCGCGACAAACTCACCATCTGCAGTACAAAGCATTGCACCAAACGTGGTTGTACCTACTGTCGGTGAAAAACCAACATCAAAGAAGCAAAGTGGCGCGCCATTTGCCGGTGGCGACAGCTGTCATGACAGAGAGGTAGTGAGCGTGGTCGAGGCAGCTGCTCCAGAAGCTCGCTCCCAAATAAAGAGAGCGGCGGATGCAACCTTCCAACCTGATTCGACCGCTGCATGTTGGCTTCCCATACCGTGCCATTACGGGCCTTCCAAATGTAATAAAGGATTGCCACCACTTTCACAAGAATATCCCCTGTCAACATAACCATAGCATTTTCGAACCAACTAGGAAAAAATCATCCAACCACACAAGAAATGGGGAAGTTGGATTCATGCCAAACGAGTTGTGCAAACTCACACTCAATGAGAGAGTGCATGGTATCCTCACGAAAGGAAACACACATAGGGCATGAAGGACTCACATCTACTCTCCTTATAAGGAGATTAGTAGTGGTAGGAAGAATACCACTAATAGCTCTCCACAAGAAAGTACTCCATTTGGTGGGGGGGAGGGGGGTGGGTTAATCTACCACAGGGAATTCCACTTATTAAAGTTAACCGGGCTAGCTCCGAATTCACCCATAATGCATCTATAACCATTCTTCACATAATAACCACCACTAAGGTCTCTATGCCAATACCAAAAATTCTCGTAGGCTGGGCATATATGGACCGTAATGATACGATTCACATCAATAGGCAAGAAAATATCCCTAAGAATAGATAAGTCCCAAGAATGAGTAGCCTGATCAATCAAGCCGAAAACCTTAGAGTCGTGCAGGTGCTAGGGTATAGTGGTATGTATCATAGGATCTGAAACATGTAAGAGCCAAGGTGGCCCCATATTAATGTAGATGCCCCATCACCAATCCTTCGTCTAACACCACTACAAATTAACTCATGGGCAGTCGTAATACTTCTCCAACAATAACTTGAGTTATTCCTCACAATAGCATCAATAAAAGTAGTTATAGGAAAATACCTTGCTTTATAAACACGAGCAACCAGGGACTGTGAATTTGTGAGAAAACTTCACGCCTGTTTGTCGAATATAGCCAGATTGAAAGCACAAAGATCCTTGAAACCCAATCCACCAACACTTTTAGGCTTCCATAAACGATCCCATGTCATCCAATGAATACCTCTACCATTAGCACCTCCCAAACCCCACCAATAGCGGTTCATGGTCCTTCCAATAGCAACACATAGAGAATCAGTAAGAAAGAAAACACTCATAGGGAAAGTAGGCATGACTTGTGCCACACTCTTAAAAAGAATCTCCTTGCCTGCCTGAGATAGTAATTTCTTATTCTAGGAGCCAATTCTTTGTTTGATTTTATCCTCAATGTATGAGAAAACTAACCTTTTATTCCTCCCAACAAAGGATGGCAATCCCAGTATTTACCAAAATTTGATGCCTGGGTAACCCCCAACAAAGCAACCACAGCTTCCATGTCCTCCACCACAATGTTTCTACTAAAGCACACACTAGATTTATGATAATTAATAGTCTGACCAGACAAGAGTTCATAGGTTTGGAGGCACTGCTTTATAACTCCAGCTTCCTGCATATTTGCTTTAAAGAATAACAAGCTGTCATCAACAAAGAAAATATGTGAGATGGCCGGGGCTTCTCTAGCCACCCTACAACCATGAATTGGACCATGAGCCTAAGCATTTTGTAATAAGAGAGAAAGGCCTTCTGCACAAATAATAAATAGATAGGGAGAGAGGGGATCACCTTGCCTTAGCCCACGTGATGGCGTTACCTTACTTCCCCTGGCTCCATTAACAAGGATGTTATAAGAGACAGTCGTAACACACAACATAACCAAATCAACCCACTTCTTAGCAAAACCCAACGACCCAAACATATTACGCATAAAAGACCATTCCATTTTATCATAAGCCTTAGCTATATCCAACTTCAAGGCCCCTCACTCAACTTTCCCACACTACTTTCTCTTCAAAAAGTGGACTACTTCTGCAACAACTAAAATATTATCTGTAATCAATATGTTAGGAATAAAAGCCACTCTAAGACTCTAAAATCACATCACCCAAGAACAGTTTCATTATATTTGCTAGCATCTTTGCTATGATTTTATAAATCACATTACATAGGCAATAGGCCTTAAATCAGACACCATCTCAGACTATTTCTTTTTAGGGATAAGAACAATATTGATATCATTCAATCCCCCAGGAAAAGAACAAGAATGTAGGCAATCAATCACAAAAGATGAGACATCCCCCCTACTACATCCCAAAAGTGCTGGTAGAATCCTGGGTTCATCGCATCAGGCCCCGGGGCCTTATCAAGAACCATAGAAAATTGGGCACTCTTTACCTCCTTTACTTCAAAAGGGCGAAGCAGACTGTCATTCTGACTCTAAGTTATCTGTGAGGTAACAATGCTAAAGAAAGGATCATAATTCACTGAACTATTGCTAGAATTAAAGATATCCACAAAATAATTCAAGATCACTGAACCCATCTCATCATTCACAACCCAATTCCCAGAGGGGTCCTTAATTCTAGACAAAGTGTTTTTATGCTTACGGGAAGAAGCATACATGTGGTAGAATTTTGTGTTGGCATCTACTCCCCGTAACCAATGCTACTTTGCCCTCTACCTCCAGTAAAAATCCTCATGCACCTCCAACTGACACAACTGGCCTTCAATAGCTTGGAATTCGGCCAAAGTAGCCGGATCAGTGCGTCCACGTAAGCCATGCTGCTTTGACTGCAGCAATTTAATCTGCTTGCCAAACAAGTGGAATCTATCCCCACCCCATTCATACAGACAGTCCCCACAGAGCTAAACATAGTCTAACAAGTCACCACTATGCCAATCACCCCACGCCTTCTCCACCACACTACGACACCCCTCATCTAGCAGCCAAGCTATATCAAGACGCGACCCTTGTTTGCAACCACCACCCTTACCCCTAAGAGCATTGATCCCAAGGAAAAGAGCTGAATGGTCAGATGTACGTGTGAGCAAATTCACCACCCTGGCCCCCTCAATCATACTACACCAATCCTTACACGCAACAACTCTGTCTAATCTTTCCTCAACCCAAGCATCTATACCACTACCGTGCTCCCAAGTATAAGGATAACCCTCCGTAGGCAACTGCAATAACCCACAATCATCCAAAGCTTCCCCAAAACGGCGAAAGATGTTCTCAAGATGAGGGACCCTACCTCGCTTCTCAGATTGAAACAAAAGATCATTAAAATCCCCTACAACAACCCAAGGGAGAAGATAGCGAGGGTTTAGGGACCTAAGCAAATCCCACGAGTCATTTCTCCTACTACGCTATGGGAAACCATAGAAACAAGTCATACGCCACGGAGAAAGGTCGACAATACTAACTTCCACGTCCACATGATTCTTAGAGAAACTAATCAGCCTTGCTGTATTGTTTTTCCTCCATAACAACGCCAAGCCACCACTCAAACCTTCACTGTCAACGTAAAACAAACTTTCAAAACCAAGCCTGACACAAAGGCTGTAACAACCCAAAAATTCTTCTTCCCAATTTAAGCCTATTTTATAAATAACTAGTCAAATCTTTTCTCAATAAATTGTTCCTAAGTTGACTAGTGGTTTTTTCAAATAAAGTATTTATTCAAAGACCCGTATGGTGAATAAATAAATAAATAAATACAAAAGTCTATTCATGTGCCTTAATTTTCAAGAATCAATTTGGGAAAAAATATTCTTGTATCCAAAAGTCAATCTGAGAGGAACCTGTGAACCAACTCAATAATATTTCATTAGTCAATTCCTCTAACCTTAAATCCCTAATCCATATCTTCTACCCTAGAATTTTATATTGACAATTTTACCCATCAAACCCTAGCTACACTTATATATTGTTTCCTTATAGGATACACTATTCATTCTTCCAAAAATCATCACCATCACTCACTCACTCACTCTCTCTCTCTCTCTCTCTCTCTCTCTCTCTCTCTCTCTCTCTCTCTCGACTCTCTCTTCTCCTTCTTGTCTTGAGCTTCTCTTCTCCAAACCCTAGGTTCAAGACTTGGTAAGTTTCTCCTACCTTTCTCCCATTCCATCCTCTAGTATAAGTCAATGAAATGATGTATTTATGTGGGTTATTTATAGTGTTTTTGAGTTGGAATGGTGTGGTTGTTGCTATGCTTTGGTTGGGAGAAGGAAGATGAAGGGTGTAGAAGAAGAGCTTGGGGATGGATTTGCTAGAAGAAGATGGCTTGAGGTATAACCCATGGACATCCAAAATGATATATTTTCCTTCAAATACTTGTTATATGTTTATTTAGTGTTGTTGGTGATGAATGAACTTGAATGTGGTTTATATCTTGTGTTTGAGGTGTGATAGATGTTGTATAATTTGGTATTGTTGATGCTTTGCTTGGGATATATGTTTGGAGGTGTTGTAGCAGGTTGAAAGTGGGTAAAAATACCCATGTATGGGGTAGAACAAAGAGGAGAGGCTATTGCCTCGCCTCTGCCCCGTAGGCGTGCGGGCTCGACCGCGGGTCCTAGGAGACCCGCCGGCCAGCCCGCGTGCCCAGTGGTAGGCCCTTCGCGGCCTGCCACTTCACGCCAGGCCGTGCGGTAGGCACGGCGGGTCTTGGGAGACCCACCGCCCAACCCGCGGCCTAGGGCTTGTTGAATTATCGCGGTCCGCCACTCGCGTTTTGCTGGTTTTCGTGACTCGTAGGACTTCTGAGACTTGTTCTAAGATGTTATATGAGACGTGTTTCATGTACAAAAAACATTTTCTTATCAAAGCAGGATTTACTTATTTTATTGAAGCTTTAACCAACCTTGAAATTGATATATGTGTTGAGCATGATTCACAAGTGAAGTACGTTGAATAGCATGTTTCAATGAGTTAATGGATGCGATCTAAGTTTGTGTTAAGTGAAGGATAAGTATGAAGTGATTTATATCCTTGTGAGTTGAAGTTACTTGGACTCATTGAGTATGAACCATTGCATTAATCCACATGGTTTGACTACACTTTATATTCCACTTGTTTATCCTGTATTCCCTATTTTCTCAAACTACATCTAGGCATAGTATGCCATTTATGTGCTATATTGTGCATATCTTGTGAAGAAAACCTTTTTACCTTGGAGGTGGTACTTGAGTTTCAGTTACTTGAAAAGATTGATGAGATGAAATGATGAAATGAAAGTCCGTGGAGAATTCCCGAAAGTTATGTGTATAAAAAGTGGCCCGGTAGAAAAATCTCGGGTTCACTTGGGGCTTGAGCTATTACTAGCCGGGCTTGGAGTCCTAGTTAGGGGATGTACACACTTAAGATAGCGGTCTCGTTTCCATGTTACTTATGAGATTTGTGGGTGAGACGTTGATTAGGCCAGTTGAGAATTCCTGAGCCCAAATGGGTTCATTAACATATGGTGAAGTACCTACCTCCCCACCGTGTTGATACGATGAGATTGATGATATGATGGGATTGATTATATGATGAGATTGAGGATATGATGAGATGAGTACGGTTCATGGAAAGTATGATGACCCCTCCACTACTATTATCTATATGTATTTACCTTACATTTTTCTTCGAGGGAATTTATGGTATTGATATCATGGCTAGAGTTAACTTATTTGGCTTTCATGTTATTGCCGGATTGTCATGATACTTGATTTCCAATGTTATGCTTGATATGATGTTGTACCATCTTACCATAATTTAGTTATTCACATGATTACATGTAACTTTGCCTACTTTTTTATCTACTAAGTCAAACTTGATTCATATCTTGTTAATATGTAATAGGTATGTATATTTGAGTATGAATTGCATAAGTGCTTGCGAGCCTTTCTTTTGGATATGAGCTTAGAATATGATTTTGGATATGTGGGCCCTCATCTATGACTTATGATCATGATATTTTAGTTAGCTTTTCCTGTGTAGTTGCTCTATCGAGGGTGACTACGGAGTAGCATCTCCAGTTGTTTGTGGTTGGGTAATTAGTATAATGGTTACCCTTTGCTTTATTTCCGCTTTATTACCTTTAAGGTTATGTTTAATACTAGGCTCAGTTGTTGAAAAATTGGGGGTGTTACAAAGGCACTCAGTATGCCCACGCCCCACCTTGGTTTCCATCTAGAACACAAATCAGGCTTCTTACAGGACACCATGTCATCCACTTCGCGAACTGTGCGTCAATTACCCAAGCCACGACAGTTCCAACTAAACCCGCCAACTGCAAGTTTTTTGAACTGTTAGACATAGCAACATCAGAATCCAAAGTGCCCGCCACCCTACCACTTCCTAGGTGGCCCTGGCGCCGCTTCGAGGCAGCCACGACACCTGCATCATCCACCACGCCGTGCTGCCCCAACCTCGGTCCTATGACATTGTCTTCCGCCACACCAGACTGTTCTGCCACCGTGTTAAGCCATATCGGGCTTGATGTCGGAAGTAACCACCGCTCCTTAACTGGTCTAGGACCTCTCGACTGCCCAGCGCGCATCCATGAGCCATAAGGGTACTGTTCGGCCGGCAAATTTGAGTCACGAGCCTTTTAGGCAAAATTTATCAGAATGTCCAAATAAGCCACATAAGAAACAAAACGTGTGTAACTGTTCGTACTTGAAATTGACCCATCCCCAAGATTTGTCACGTCTAATAAGCTTCATCTGTCTCTTAAGAGGTTTGGCAACAAGGATGGAAACACGGATACGATAGAAGGTTTTCCATGCTCCACCCAATTGCCTGTCATCACAACGAACAAAAGAGCCAATAAAGTTACCCACTTGCTCCAAGATCACATCAGTAGTGTAACAAACCAGGAGATCATACACATGGGCCCACAGATCAACAGAATCAAGCACCACCCCACCCGGAAACTCACCCTCCCCAACTTGCTTACAGACCAACGTGCTATTTTCAAAGGACCAGGGACCGTCCTCAAGAACACGCTGCATATCCATCTTGTGGTGAAACACGAACAAAAAGAGGTTAGGTTACACCTCAGATATCTGAACACCCTTGACCGGCCTCCAAATCGATGCCATAACCTGCCTCTTGTACTCGACTTTGACGAGGTGATTGGTGAGGAAACGTCCAACCAAACTCCAAGACACGACCACCGCCTCTGTCGCAACCTGGGCTGCCTCGTCGCACTCCAAACCAACCTCTTCATCCTCCAACACCATATCAGCCCACCTGGCCGTAAGCCCCGCCACAGAATCTCCGCTACGTGATTCCATGCAGAAACGCAACAGGACAAAACCCTAGAGGAAGCAAACCCCAAACGGCGCAGCAGAAGCCTTTCGTAGCACGAAAAGCAGACGCACATATCGAAGCTAAGCAATCCTCGTAGAACAGAAGCAAAACCAGAAACCAAAGCAAGAACAAGAAAATCGGTTGAAAACCCTAAAGAGATAGGGAGGTGATGGAGAGAAACCCTAGCAAGACATAGGAAGAAAAAAAAAAAAAACTCCATACTAATATTTGAATATATAATGAATTTAGGAGAAGAATATATAATGAATAACATGCATATCACAGGCTCCTAATCTAATAGAGGACAGGGAGGAGGTAGCACAAATTTTAGGGGTCACTCAGGCTCCTAATTTTAGGAAGTATCTAGGCTTATCCTCATTTGTTGGAAGGAATAAGAAAGCAGTTTTTGCATATATTGAGGATAAAATTAAGCAGAGGATTGGATCGTGGAATAAAATGTTGCTATCACAGGCTGGTAAGGAAATCCTGTTGAAAAGTGTAGCTCAAGCTATGCCTACTTTTTCAATGGGGGTCTTTTTACTGCCTATATCTATTTGCACGGCTATTGAAAGGACAATGAACCGTATTGGTGGGGAGCAGGAACTGACCGCGCGGTATTCATTGGAAGGCATGGGACAGATTGTGTATCCCAAAGAAATATGGGGGACTGGGATTTAAGGACCTAAGAGCTTTTAATTTAGCGATGTTGGGTAAGAAAGCATGGCGGATGCTAACTAATACTGACTCTTTGGTGTCTCGTGTATATCGGGCGAGATATTATCCGAAACAAACTTTTTACGAGGCATGTCTGGGAAATAACCCCAGTTTCTATTGGCGTAGTATTATGGCAGCTAAGGAACTGGTGTGGTGGAGTGAGACGGCATGTTGGGACTGGAATTTCTACGTTAATTTGGGAGCACCCGTGGCTCCAGGACGATTTAAATCCCATGATCCATACAGAGATCCACCGCAGTTGGTAGGAGCTATAGTGAGTGGATTGATGGATCCAGATACTAGGACCTGGGACCACCATATTCTCTCAGATATATTCCAACCAAGTGATATACCCCGAATTCTAAAAATACTAATTTCCCCAGAATATGATGATGTTTGGTATTGGCATGGGGATCCGAAGGGTAGCTACTCTGTTAAGGATGGCTACAAGCGCATTGTTGGGAGCTTTACAAATAGTAATGATGGGGTATTTGATAAATGGCTCACCCTATGGAAATTAAAAATCCCCCCAAAGTGGAAAACATTTTTTATGGAGAGCTATAAGTGATATCCTTCCCACTACGAACAATTTGCTTATAAAGAGGGTGAATGTAGATCCAATTTGTGTCATATGTGGAATCATGCAAGAGGACACTATGCACTCTTTGGTATCATGTGGTTATGCCAACTCCATATGGGCTCTATCTAACCTTCCACTCTCCAATATTGTGACAAATATTTTCCATGAGTGGTTTAGTGCAATGTTAAATGTTCTAGACACTAATGAAATTATGTATGCAGCTGCAATTCTTTATCATATCTGGAGAGCATGAAATGGAGTAGTTTGGGATGCCTGCCTACCTTTGCCCAGGAAAATAATCGTCGTCGTAGCTGCCACCATGCAAGCATGGAAGACCGTACACCATGCGGCTGCCGACAAAAGTTCCACCGCCGACGTGACTGCTGCTGCCCCTTCTGCCGGACTGCTGCTACCTCCACCGCCGGACGGGGCTGCTTCTACACCGGGGAACGCCGCTGCCATAAACCCACAGAAATGTTATGTGGATGCCGGGTATCACCACGCTACAAATGCCGCCTCAGTAGGAGCCGTGTTGCTAGAAGCCGACGGAAGATTTGTTGCGGCATACAGTGCTCCCTTGCCGAATTGTTTGTCCCCACTCATGGCCGAGCCATTTGCGTGTAAGGAAGCTTTATTTTGGTTACGAGACCGTGGCGAACAGACCATCCGGGTTTACACGGATTGTCACACTCTACACTGATGTCTATCCTCATTAGGACCCCCACTCATATCATATATTGGCTATGTTGTAGATGCCTGCAAGACTTGCATGTCTACTTTTGATTCCTGCTCAGTTAATTTTATTCCTAGGTCTCAGAATTTGTTAACTCATACTTTAACTTCTATAGTTTCATAACCGTCTACAGCTTTGTATTGGGACTCGGTCCCCCCGAGTTTATTTTGGTTTATCTCTAAATATAACGTGTTGGTTGCTTTCCAAATATATATATATATATATATATATATATATATATATATATATATATATATATATATATATATATATGGTTGCATTCACATGCAAACCCCCTTAAAATACAAACTAGTGGACAAATATGGGCCATAAGATTAGATTAGATTAATGGTTGAGATTTAAGAGGAAAAATATATACTAGGATCGTTAATTAAGAATAAAAGGGCATTTAAGACAATTGAATGGTAGTCTAATTACGATAAAATTATTATTCTGATATGTAACCTAAATTAAAGAATAGTAATTATAGTAGGAGTAGACCAAAGCAAAACAGACCTACACCCCACGGTAAAATTATTACTTTGAATGGTTGAGTTATTGGTCTGTTTAGATTCCGCGTGTATGCAAGAGTTTAGATTATCGTGTGCGCACCGAAGAACTGGGCAGATTTAAAATAGTAGTAATTTGTATGCATGCTTTATACTGTAAGTGTGCACAGTTGACCGCAATATACAATACGCACAGGTCACACAGTCTGTTCTTAATTATATACGTTTGTGTTATACGTACCAGATATGTGTGCACTATTAACTCTAAAAAAAAATGATAACACTGCAGGTAATACTGGATGCATATATATGAGCTATTAAGCCTTACTTTTGATGATTGCTATCTTATTTAGTCTTTCGTTGTTTGGTGCACGCCTAAGTAAATCTGTGTGCATGGATGAATCCCTTAGTTTCTTGAATTTTTACTGATAAGTGCAGTGGGACAAAAAATTTGGCTTTTATTACTATTCTGTGTGTACACTAATAACCAAACAATATTGACTCTGCAGATACAGACTTGTCTCTATACCATTTACGGGAGTAGACAACCATAAGAGGTGCGTTACGTTCAGGCCAGGCCACGACAGCCAGAATTGTTCAGACAAAATAGACCTATCAGACGAATAGCCCCTTATGGTTTAAAACAATACGAATACTAACTTCATTTGAAGTTGAATTAAATACTTGTCAAACTTTTGAATTTTACCGATCGTTGGAAGTTAGTTTGTTGAGCTATGCACACTGTTTTACACCATTGTGCGCACACGTTTTTTATTACTAAGCCTATAAGCTAATAGTGAACTACTAAGTATTGTTAAATTTATTTAGTGTTTACCCATGGTTGAAATGTATTTAGTTGTGCACGCACATAATTTATTTAGTTTGTTGAGCTATGCACACTATTTAACACAAATATGCACCCACATATTTACAAACTAAGCGTATACGATAATATTGAACTAGTATGTTTTGAACTTTACCCATGGTTGGTAATTATTTAGTAGAGCTTTGGACACTATATAACGCCATTGTGCACATACGTTTGTAATTACGAAGCCTATAAGCTAATAGTGAACTACTCACTTATGTAGAATTTATTTAGTTTTAACCCATGGTTGGAATTTTTTAGTTGTGCACGCACATAATTAAACCCAATGCGCACTCATGTATTTAAAAACTAAGTGTATAAGAGATTTTTGAATTATTCTCTTTTATGAAATTTACCTATTCAGTATCCATGCACACAATTCAACGCAACTGTGCACACACGTGTTTATTAACTAAGCCTACAAGCTAATAGTTCAATAGTCAGTTGTGCACACAAGTTTGTAATTACGAAGCCTATAAGTTAATAGTGACCTACTCACTTATGTGAAATTTATTTAGTTTTAATCCATGGTTGGAAATTTTTTAGTTATGCACACACATATTAAAAACTAAGCGTATAAGAGATTTTTGAATTAGTCTCTTTTGTGAAATATATCTATTTTGTATCCATGCACAAAATTCAATGCAACTGTGCACACACGTGTTTATTAACTAAGCCTACAAACTAATAGTTCAATAGTCAGTTACGAAAAAATCATTTCGTTACTATACATGGTTGAAATTTATTAAGTTGACGATGCACACATTTTATCAACAATGTGTGTCCATGCATCCACGTATTCATTTACAAACAATATAAGCTAATACTCAACTAGCCACTTCCGTGAAATTTATTTATTTAATATCCATAATCGAGGGCATTATCCTGTGGTGGCTATAGCTGAATCTTGGAAAGGACCACCCTAGGCGGCGACACAAAGTCACTATCATCCTTAGATATTCCCGAAGGACCACCATCTGAATGGGCGCGCTTGGATTTTTTAGCTGCAGAAACGAACCAACACACACGTTTGACTTCTTACCTGGAAAATAAAACAACAATAACATCTACATGTTTGCACACACAACGAAACCCAAAAAAAAAAAAAAAAAAAAAAAAAAAAAGTTAACCACACCATAGTACTACGAAACTATAGAGCAAATAGCTACACCAAACCATGCACATACCACCCCCCCCCCCCCAAAAAGACGAGAACCCGAGAATACATATAGCAGTAAACAACCGAGCACAAATAGCTACAAATTAAAGCTCATAATGATTGAGGATTTTTGATATTGAATAATAATAATACTAAATATTTGAATCATACGAAACTGCTCTATTGTTGTCTCATATGGTAGGTACATGCATGCATGCAAATAATCAGATTACAAGACACCAACAATACACATGATATAACTTAAGAGTATCGAATTGAAAAATTTTAATTTTATTTTTTAAAATGAACAACAAACACGACCGCTAAGAACATCTACAACAACCTGAGAATAGATATAAACTACCAAACACCATGAAAACCATAAAAAAAAAAAACAATAAAATACTGTCATCCACACGTACAAATATAAACAAGCACACAACATCCAAACAAGTAATAAACGAACAAACAAATAAAGCCGCTAAGCACATCAACAATACCCCGGAATGCACACACCATGAAACCCAAACCCAGAACATGTTTTTCAAAACACACCACTGTACATACTGAAATCACTCAAACTGAACATTGGTAAGGATTAAAACAACAACAAAAAAAATAAAACACAAAAAAAACCCCAGTTAACAGACATAGACATTAAAATAAATTATCAACTGCAGAAGGACGCAGGTGCCCCAGTTAAGTAATACAACATGCAACATTGTATTACTTTTTATGCAGAAGGTATGATCTCAGGCCTGAAAATTCACAATTTTAACTACAATTTATTTAAACAAAATTACAAGAAATAGTTGAAAGAGTTAATCATTCAAAACACATGCACATGCATTTGCAGATGGAGCATTACACATTTACACCCCAATTCCCAAAGAATATATTATTGTAACAAGCTAGTTTTGCTAAAAACAACATTTGAACACCAAGAAGCAACTTAATACGTAGAATATAGGCAATCCATTCAACACATTGTAGTAGCAAACTCTAATCCATTCCATGGCAGATTTGGCTTCACCATTTCTCTCTTCTTTGCAGGCACTCCTACATGGTCTCCACGCTTAAAAATCATATATTTATACACACAATTTTTTTATAAACATATAGTCAAAATCACATAGCATATGCGAAACATATATCTGTTATGCTTAAAGTATACTATATATATATATATATATATATATATATATATATATATATATATATATATATATATATATATATATATATATAGTCAAACAAAATAGCAATAATATATAAATAGAGCAGACTGCAAACTTCAAGAATCAATTAATTTAGAAAAATTAATACAGAGTGTATGTATATATGTAAAATAGACAGCAACAACCAAGAACAAACCACACACACACCTGGCCCCCAATGCAAAAATTGTTACCAATAAAGATAACCGAACAACACGTATACTGGTATCGCCACAAACACCACACCCCACCGCACACACAGGCAGAGTCTACAAGCCAGACATTTGACCATATGAAACCCAAACCAAGCACAGTACTTCGACAACCAGTGCACATATGTACCATCCATATTTTTATTTCTTATTCTTCTCTGTAGAATTCCTCAAAATTAAGAACATATGTCTCATTGGCACTGCCAAATTCATGGAAATACTGCCCACCACTAACATATCAACTATCCAGAATTTCACCAACCTTAACAATTAAATATGAGCTACAGACAGTAAGAAACAACTACGGCAACAATGTACATACAACTAAAGGAATGAAACCACAAAAATTTCATGCCTTACAGATTAAAAATGGATGCCCAACAACAAATTCACAAGAAAAAATTATTACCACACCCAGAAAAATGCACAAAAATGTATTACAAAGCAAAGAAAAATCACAACACTACACGCCAGCAAAACAACAATATTGCTCACCCCAATCAACCCCACAACCCCGCAACCACCCCCACCCCCAAACACGGCAGAACGCTGAAAAAAACACAAAATCCGAGCAGAAATGCAAACAAAAAAAACAACTCAGACCCCATTCGCATTCCTAATGTATGAGTAATAACTAAAACCAACAAACAATTAAATGATCTAAAACATGTAAAAAAAAAAAAAAAAAAAAACTCAAAATAGGAAACCCTAGCTCCGAAAACCCACATAAACACGGCAAAACCCCCATCTCCACCAAACAACACACACAATACGCGTAAAAAGAAGAAACCCCCAACAAAATACAACAAAAACGAACGGGAAAACCCACCCAAAAAAGAAAAACATAGAAACGGCGAGAATACGTACATCAGTCGACACCTGCGATCGGTGGTCCCCGCCTCTTCGATGTGCCGAGGTCCCCACCTTCTACCATTGATACGTGGAAAGAAAAAGCGTGAGATGAAAACACGCAATGCCCGTATTCGTGAAGCCGCACGGAACGAGAGAGAGAAACGGAATGGTGAAACAGAGACGTCCTGCGCGTGGAAGAACAAAAGGAAGACTTGTTTGACTAGGTCTCAGCCACAAACAAAAAACCAAAAATATCCTTCAAGAAAAAAAAAAGACCCTCACTTAACGTAAAAACACAACACACGCGCGAAATATTCAAAACCAATCTGGACCATCCAACCTCGCTATCAAACGGTCCCATATTGTCCACACGTTTGTATTTTAAGCCCTGTTTTTACAGGAATGTAATTATATATATATATATATATATATATATATATATATATATATAATGAATAACATAGTTTGGTGGCCATGTTAATTAATTGTGAGTCATAATAGATATAGCTTTATAATTAATAGCAATGATAGTCTTTCAATAAATATTTGTAGTAATTAATAACATATTAATAAATAGATACTCTATACAACTTTTCGGGTATGACATTTTTTTTTTTTTTGAATGCTTCGGGTATGACATAATTATTTTAAAAAATAATGTTTTATTTGGGTTGAGGTGGTGTGGCAAATTATTCTATGACCTGTATTTTATTTAAAAAATTTTAAATTTTAAAATCACAATTTATATTTTAGAAGTTAACAATTTTAATCAATACTAAAAATAAATAATTTAGAATTATATTTAGAATCGTCTACCTTCCAAGGTGGACTCTGGTTCTTAGTATGAGGTGATGCAGTCTTATTTGAAAAACACTATACAGATGTTTTATACTACGCAACTACGGACAGTTCATTTGATGGCAAATTATATTATGCACCGCGGTGCATAATCGATTATGCACCGCGCGTCTTTTTTTTTAAATGAAAATTAACAGTGTTTATTTCCGCCGTTTCGCACCCTTTTACAAAAAGTAACTCTGTTATTCAGTGTCATTTTGTATACACTGCAGTTTCAGTTGAACACAACTACAGTTTCATTTCGATATAACTATAGTTTCATTCGATATTTTATAGACTCAAATATGTGAAAATGTTATTTAATTTTATTTTATATACACTATAGTTTTATTAAAACACAACTACATGATCATTTTGATATAATTACAGCTTCATTGTACAATATACACTCAAATATGTGAAATGTTATTCAGTTTCAGTTTATATACACTGCAGTTTCATTTCACTATAACTATAGTATCATTTTGATATAACTGCAGTGTCAGTTTGGATATACTGTAGTGTCAGTTGGTATTTAATACACCAAACAAATGGACTCCGTTAACTCTAACGGCGGACCGTTTCTTTACTTAAAGAAACGGCACCGTATATGCACCGCGTAAAGAAACGGCACCGTATATGGGCCGCGGTGCATAATCGATTATGCACCGCGGTCTATAATATAACAACTGCATTTGATAGAGAACGACCGAACCCGTAGAAAACAGGCCTTATCTACACATCATCAAGAAAAAGGTCAAAACTGGGTAAGCTGTACAGTAACATCGTCATTGATAATCTTTCCAGAACTATATACTCTGTCCTAGAGAGAGAGAGAGAGAGAAAGCAAAGGAGAGTGTTGGGCAGAAGGGGAAGATCGTTGGTCTCAAGTCGTCATCATCATCTTCGAGATCCCGTCAAAGAAAGTCCCCCCGCTCAACCTACCCTTTTCAGTTCTTACCACCCTGACACTCCATCCTCGCTGTTGCATTCTACGATTCTATGAATTCCCATGTCCTATTCTGGAGTCGGTGAAGTGAAAAAGGATATAATAGTTGAAAAGATTGAGTCTTGAGAGCTCGAATTGCTGATTATACAGCTTGGCGTGTAAGGTGTTTGATGTTTTGTTCGTATGTTGTTTGGTCATATGTGCTTGGAGCTAGGAAGAGGCCAGGACTAAATCCATGTGGAGAGATTTTCTTCCATTGACGGCTAGGTTGCATTCAGGTAGGCATCTCAGATTCCTGTCCGGTTCAAGAATTTTGGAATTGTTTTCCATTTTAGTTAACCAAATTGTTGCACTGATTCTATTGATTTGAGTTATTTGTTTTACTTGGTTGGGATCATTCTTGTGGATCTATAGCTAAATTACCAGCTTTATGCTGCCTATAACTTCTGTGTGAATGTGGGGTGGTGGGGGGAGGGTTGTTGTCTTGTTGTGTAGTTTCTAAGATTAGAAGTTGTAGTTGAATTGAGATTTTCCAAAACAATAAACAGAATAGTTAGAATAGGATTGTTCAACATCTGGAAAAGGGGCTAACTTTGCGTGTTAAATCATGGTTGGATGAGGTTTTTTGTTGAAAGTGGATGTGTTTCTAATGGTTTGGTAGGATTTCTATTTTGTTCGTTTTAGGCTTTTTTTGGTAATGACTTTAGTTTTGGATCTCCATAGGTTGCGTTTTCTTAACTGCGGAATTGTATTGAAGAGAAAAAAATAAAGGGAAGAAAATGAGGACCAAGAACAAGCACAGGAAATCAACCTCTTTACCTTGCAATGCAGGGAGCAGATGGTCGTGGCCGATTGTGGTATGCAGCTTAGTAGGCTGCTTCATTTTGCTTCATCTGTACTCTTTAACCTGGCAAAAGGATCTGCAAATTAGAGAGACCCAGATATATGTGAGACACCATGAACGACTACAGGAGCTTGAGAAGGTTGAGGAAGTTAATATTCAACTCCCTCCGCCAAGGAGGCGATCAGCACGTGCTGCCAAGAGGAAGCCGAAACGGCCAACCACCATGATTGATGAATTTCTTGATGAGAATTCCCAGATTAGGCACGTTTTCTTTCCTGGTCTGAAAACAGCTGTAGATCCCAGGAAGGATTCTAACAATGATACATACCACTATTACCCGGGGAGAATATGGTTGGATACTGAGGGAAACCCAATCCAAGCTCATGGAGGTGGCATTCTATATGATGACAAGACAAAAACGTATTATTGGTATGGGGAATATAAAGATGGCGACACCTATCACGCTCACAAAAAGGGTGCAGCACGGGTAAGTTTTGCATGATACTATGAGGTTTTGTGATTCTGTTCTTCTCTACGGCGACTTCTGTAATGGTAGAATAGAGGGGGAAAAAATGTAAAAAATTTAATCTAGTCCCTTGATTGGTGAATCCAATCCAATCTCCCACCATATATGCTATGTTCCTGCACTTTCCATTATATAGGCGTTTGTGATGCTCCACATTAAAATGCTAAATGTGATAAAACTTGGCAGTTTAATTTCCAGTTATGCATGCATATGCTCCTCATGACAGATTGTTGATCTTGCATTTTCTCACGTGTATAGGCATTTGCGGGTTTGATTGTGTTGGATGTACTGCTCTAGTTTTTATTTTCTAGTCTCTGTTAACTACTGCCATCTTATCTATTTTTAGGGTTTAGGATGAGAAATATCTGCACAATTTGCTCAAGAACTCCTAAATACTAATAGGAAGACATGAGAACCCCATGAAGGCATGAAGCGTGTAGCCCGAACATTGACAACTGTAGTGCTGAGAATGTTTTTATCCTGTTTGATTGGTGACACGTGTTTTTGCTTGTATCTTATGCTATTTGTCGTCTTGTGATTGTGATTGTGATTTATTCCATCATGGTATATTGTGATCAACTATGCCCGCCCTTCGAGTGTTTCTTTTTACTTATGACTTATCCCCTGCAGGTTGATGTTATTGGTGTTGGTTGCTATTCGTCAAGAGATTTGTGGACGTGGCAAAATGAAGGCATTGTATTGGCGGCAGAAGAAAAAAACGAGACACATGATCTATACACATTAAATGTGCTCGAGAGGCCAAAAGTGATCTACAATGAGAGAACAGGTAAATATGTAATGTGGATGCACATAGACGACACGAACTATACTAAAGCTTCTGTAGGTGTTGCCATCAGCGACTCTCCAACTGGTCCCTTCGACTACCTCTATAGCATCCGACCCCATGGATTTGATAGTCGGGACATGACGATTTTCAAGGACGATGATGGGAAAGCGTATCTCGTCTACTCCTCTGTAGATAACAGCGAGCTTCACGTCGGCCCTCTTAATGAACAATACCTAGACGTGACTCGTAGTATGAGAAGGATTCTTGTGGGGCAGCACCGCGAAGCCCCTGCCTTGTTCAAGAACCAGGGAACATACTACATGATCACCTCCGGCTGCACTGGTTGGGCGCCAAACGAGGCTTTGGCCCATGCAGCCGAATCTATAATGGGGCCATGGGAGACCATCGGAAACCCATGCATTGGCGGGAACAAAATTTTTCAACTCACTACCTTCTTCGCTCAAAGCACGTTCGTGTTTCCCTTGCCCGGATTGCCACCGGGTTTCTTCATCTTCATGGCGGATCGATGGAATCCAGCCGACCTGAGGGATTCGAGGTACGTATGGCTACCTTTAACAGTGGCTGGACCTGTGGACCAGCCTCTGGAGTACAATTTTGGGTTTCCTTTGTGGTCGAGAGTGTCGATATATTGGCATAAAAGGTGGCGGCTTCCTTATACATGGTGGGAACAGCAGTGAAACAAAAAACAGATAACCTCTTTTCTGATACATTCTTTTACCTCAACTTTTGTCACCACATGTTTCCTTGTTCCTTCATGTTGTCTTTATTATGTTGACAGTTCAGTTAGCTTACAGCACAATATATATATAGTTGTAAATTGTAGAGGTTTGAAGTTGTGGTGGATAACTAATAGTTGTGGTGGTTACTTGATTATCTATGGAGTCTGCATTCATTATTTTTTTTACAAAAATGCACTCTAATTCTGAAAGTCTCTTTGATCTCGGGATCTTGACTGAGGAGATAAATTGTGGAATGTGATTCATATAGTGAAAGCAAAGCTAACTCATCTGGTGATTCGTTTTACTTGCTTTGAATTCTTGAATTGAAGCCCAGTTGAACTTTAAAGCCCAAACATTATATTTTTAATTTTTAATAATAATAATAATAATAATAATAATAATAATAATAATAATAATAACAATTGTGGTTCTCTCAAATGAGATGTCAGTAATGTCACAGGTAGGGGCAGATCTAGGAAACTTCTTCCGTGGGAGCGAAAGAAAATATTGTTGACTTAAGAATAAAAAAATAAAAATACATTAAAATACGAAAAAAAAAAATATTCAAAATAAAAATATAATTTAAATATAAATTATATTATAAATCACGCATCTCACTATTAATATTTAAAATAAAATTAGAATGATCAGGGATCAAGTCTCACCAGCGGCAGTGTGGGAGCAACCTCTCAAAGTGAGGGGGCTCCTTGTGAATAGTGAGCACCGGTCTAGCCTCTGTGGTTCATGTTCAGTTGAGTCACCATGATTTACATCCTCCCAAATACTCTGTCAGGCCGGGGTGTGGGGGGCCCTTAGAGTTGGGGTTCAGCCTTTTGGAAGAATATTTAAAATAAAATTCTAATGTTACATGTAAAGAATCAAATTAGAATTAGAAACTCTTTCAAAAAAAAAAAATTAGAATTAGAAACTAATCTTATAAATCACAATTATAATCTGACTATGAAAATTAAAAAGGCTAAAAAATAAAATTACACTAAATTTCAAACCCATGACAATTCATAAATTAACATAGATTTAATCATCTAAACTAATTCATCCTTTCGATAAATTTTTGTATATATTTATATGCATTTACTCTGTATATATATAAGGAATCATACATACATACAATATATATATATATATATATACATACAATATATATATATATATATATATATATATATATATATATATATATATGGGAAAAGGGTCAAATAAGCCCTCCAACTATTGCTAAGAAGTCAATTAGGCCCTCCAACTATTTTAAGAAGCAATTACACCCCTAAACAATGTATTTTGATGCAAAGAAGTCCAAATACAGGTAAATGACCTGCTATCCCAGGTCATCACAAATCCGACGACACTCCGACGTATTTTCCGGCGAAAAAGTGACCGGCGACCGGCGAACGGTCGCCGGTCACGGAGACCCCTCCCGGAGAAGGCAACCCAGAAATCTGGGTTGCCTTCTCCGGTCCTCGACCAGAGAAGGCAACCCAGATTTCTGGGTTGCCCACTCCGGTCGAGAAGGCCACCACAGTGGTGGCCTTCTCCGGCGAGAAGGCCATGGTGGCCTTCTCGACCGGAGAAGCAACCCAGATCTGGGTTGCCTTCTCCGGCCGAGAAGGCCACCACTGTGGTGGCCTTCTCGACCGGAGAAGCAACCCAGAAATCTGGGCTGCCTTCTCCGGCCGAGAAGGCCACCATTGTGGTGGCCTTCTCGCCGGAGAAGGCCACCACTGTGGTGGCCTTCTCGACCGGAGTGGGCAACCCAGAAATCTGGGTTGCCTTCTCCGGGAGGGGTCTCCGTGACCGGCGACCGTTCGCCGGTCGCCGGTCACTTTTTTGCCGGAAAATACGTCGGAGTGTCGCCGAATTTGCGATGACCTGGGATAGCAGGTCATTTACCTGTATTTGGACTTCTTTGCATCAAAATACATTGTTTAGGGGTGTAATTGCTTCTTAAAATAGTTGGAGGGCCTAATTGACTTCTTAGCAATAGTTGGAGGGCTTATTTGACCCTTTTCCCTATATATATAGGGAAGGGATCAGGTACATTTGTTGCTTCCCGTGTAGATGTGCGGTGGATTAGTGTGCGTGAGGTTTATACTTAATGTGCGTGAGATTTGTACTCAATGTGCCTGAGATTTGTACTTAATGTGCGTCATGTTAATATGCGTGAGTTTTGTACTTAATGTGTCTGAGTATTGTGTTTAATGTGCATGAGATTTGTGCTTAATGTGCGTGCGTATTTTAGAATTACGAGCTCAGAAGGAAGCAGAACAGAAACTCACGCACATTAACGACCAAGCTTCTTGTTACTTCTTCTTTCAATTTTGTCATGGATTCTGGATTATCAGCTACCTTCAGTGCAGTTGAATGTTTATATAAATGACGCACGCACAATAAAACTTGCACAGCAGCTAAGTATGGATTTTTGTTGTATTATTCCCAAAATTTTTAACCACTATAGCTCGCCTCCGCATCATCATCATCAGGAGGGGGCAAATGGCTACTGGGGATGGGGAGACATCAATATTTTCTGCTGCATTTTACACATTCACGCACATTAAGTACAAATCTCAGGCACATTAAGCACAACACTCACGCACATTGAGTACAAATTTCACGCACATTAATCCACCGCACATCCGCACGAAAACATTTCACTATATATATATATATATATATATAAAGGGGATGGGGTGGGGTGAGGAGGACAGTGATGTCTATTATCCTCATTATGGCTCCGCCCTTGGTCACAAATATAAATTTTGGTAGGGGCTCTTTGTGTTTAGTAGGTTGAGAAAGTATGTATAAACAGATAATAATAATAATAATAATAATAATAATAATAATAATAATAATAATAATAATAATAATAATAATAATTTAGTTAAATATCAAAGGAATTCAAGCCTACTAAAACGCGTAGTTGACTAGCTTTTTGTCGTAGTCAAGTCATTGATTATGGAGTAATATCAATCATGTTAGTCAAAATTTAACAGATTTATCGAATGTTAGTAAATTTCTAATAATAATATTATTTTTTTGAAAAAAAAAAAAAGAAGTTAATGAGCTTCTACTTTCTAATGATAATATTATTTTTTTGCTTGGAACTGAAGAAGAAAGAAGCCAACAATTTCAATTTTCAATTAATCTTCTGCTATTATTTTTAGCTAGATTATAGTATCACATATCAGGTGTAAATCTTGTGTTAGTGACTAGGGGTGTTAGTATATAGAGTTTTTTGATAAATTATTTGTATTTGTGTTTGGTAAGTATTTGTTTATGTTCGTTTATTACGGTAAATGAAGTAATGAACATAAATGAAGAAATTTTAGAGCTCAGTTCATAAACTAACATAGTTTGAATAGTTCTATACTCGTTTGTGTTCATTTAATATTGTTCATGAGCAAGCTTGTTTAGTGTTCATTTAATAATGTCCATGAACAAACAATTAAGTAAATAAGTACGTATGTATGTGTAATATATATATATATATATATATATATATATATATATATATTAGCGTTCATATGCGGTCGAGGCTTACGGTGCGACGGTGTGGTGGGGTTCCAAAAATACACCAACAATGTAAAAAAATACACCACAATGAAATGCAAAAAAAAAAAAAAAAAAAAAAAAAATCAAAAATACACAATACACCCAAAAAAAAATACACTATATAACTCACCACCCCTAAATGGTGTATTTCAAAACACTGTATGGTGTGTTTTTGGTGATACGTACCTAATTTGTGTGTGTTTTTGTTGTGCATTTCATAACATTGATGGTGTATAATCGTTGGTGACGCACTGACGCCGCACCGCCGCACGGGAGTACCCGTCGCACCTGAACCTAACTCTCTCTCTCTCTCTCTCTTTATATATATATATATATATATATATATATATATATATATATATATATATATATATATATATATATATATATCTAAAAACATAATAAGTGTGAATAAAAGTTATACCCCTGATTTATGTCCGTTTTTTCCGTTAAGTTTTTTTGTACATTATGCTATAAAGGTTGTACATTAAAATATTTTGGACAAACATACCCCTACCGTTATAACTTCCGTTATCTTTTCCACTATTGTTACCATGCACATGCATCCACCATATATTTTCTTATCTTCTTCATTAATAATAATATATAAACATTATATATTTGAGCTATATGTTAATTATTACATAAAATATAAATATCAAATTTATAAAAATGATTTACATTATTATTATTAATACTAGTATATATATATATATATATATATATATATATATATATATATATATATATAGTTGTTGTGTTGTTTATGAACATAGATTACTTTTTGTTTACGAATGAATTGTGATTATAAACATGTGCATGTCAGCATGTGTTTGGTTATTAAGGGTTCATAAACATGTTCACGAACATGTTTTCAAACGTTAACGAACATGTTCGTTAACATTAATGGACATGTTCGTGAACGTATTCGCAAACGTTAACAAACACTAATAAACGCTTAACAAACGAACACGAACAAGATTTTCAAAACTTTAACAAACATGAACACAAACACTTCAAAAATATTAGCAACAAACACCAACCTCCCTTCGTTCATGTTCGATTCGTTAACAGTTATATGAGTGACACATAAATTATTTTATGGTATTGGTTCATATCGGGTCTTTGACCCATAGTATGTGTTTTAAGATTTTCTTTTTTTAAAGGAAACCATTGTAAGAACAAGAATGTTGTAAAAATATCGAGTTAATATCCAAAATCGTCATCGACTATAGTGGTTTTTCTCAATTTCGTCCTAAACGACTTTGGTGACCTAATATCGTCCCAGACTTTTGTGTTTCGCTCAATTTAGTCCCAGACTTTTGTGTTTTTGCTCAATTTAGTCCCTCATTTGTTATTCTGTCCATTTGGTGTTAAATAAATAGACAATTCCATAATTTTAATATTGTCATTTCTTTACTCATAGACATGTGAACTGCGAAATCTTTTTTTTTTTTTTTACGAATTACTCCCAGAATTACTCCTAAAACTGTGAATATTAAATTTGATTTGCAGGTCCGGGAGTAATTCGTACAAGAAAGAGGAATTTCGTACTTCACAAGTTGAAAGTAAAGAGAGATCAATATTGACATTACTGAATTGTCCCTTTATTTAATACCAATTTGACGGAATAACAAATGGAGGACTAAATTGAGCGAAACACAAAAGTCTGGAACGATATTAGGTCACCAAAGTCGTTTAGGATGAAATTGAGAAAAACCACTATAGTCGAGAACGATTTTGGGTATTAACTCTAAAAATATCCTAAATTGAGAGTTGTGTGTTTGAAAGATAAGAATGTCCTCCGTTCTTGTCTTTTGAGGCTTTTATATAATTTCATGCACAAGTATTACTAATACTTAATGATTAAAGTAATGATAAAATAGGTTAAGAAAGTATGTATGGACAAATGATAGTACTAAAACAAGTAATGATAAAATAAATCCCTATAAGAAGTGTTATATACTAATATTAAATGTGGGCAACATTTTAGAGTTTGAGTGAAGATGATCTCAAAGAATAACACATTAACACATATTGCTCCCAGCTCCATTCTAAAAAAACTTAGCAACCCGCTCAAAGTTATGGTTGAGAACTTGTTATTTACCATCTGACCGATGATATACACAATTATTCTTGACTCTAATTAACAATACACATAGTTATAGTTGATACTTTCAATTCAGAACTCTTTTCTTTTTTATAATTCAAGTTTTTCGATTTCACCATATTATATTCTAGACACCGTGAACATGTGTCCAAACTAAGTAAATCGAGTCAATCTAATTTTAACGAACACTCAAAATTAAAATATATACTTATACACACAATGAATCTAATCTAAATTTAACTCTAAACTTTTAATATTTGTGATAAGAATCGAATCTTTACCTTACCACTAGAAGTAAGTTGATTTCTTATAACTATAAAAATGGTGAGGTTATTTTGATGTGAGGTAGTGGGAGGGAGGGAGGGAGTAAAGGTGGAAAGAGAAGGAATGGTTTAGTTGAGGCTTGAGTTGGAGCCTGGAGGGGGTCAAAAAGATTAAAGGGTGTGGAACCCCTAAAAAGCAGTTCCCACTATCCATATTTCTTCCAAAGTGGGCCTAAAGCTTTTCACTTTATATAATAATGTTGCCTTACACCCACCATCATATCACCCCTTTCCTTCTCCTTCAACCTTCATGCTTCTTCTGATCATGCTCTGTGGGCCAGCCCCCGTTTTTTTTTTAAAATAATAATAATAATAATAATACGACCATATATTATAATTTTAATAATAAATGCATACGTACCATACTTTTTTTTTTTCTATCCGAATATAGAGCGTGCAGGCCACTAAACAACTAAACACCTTTGATTCCCAAAAGCATAAAACCAAACCCCAAACTCTCTGGCCGTCCTCTGATTCTATGGTCCCCTTCCATGATACCGACCCCTTCCTTTAATTTTCTATTAATCTTCTTTTATTTTGTATCTTATCCCTCTCTCTCTCTCTTAATTAATTCATCATGTCATTTTCCTTGACCTACTACCAACTCCACAATTTCTTAAACTAACAAATTCATCAATTTGTACTTGTCCATAATAACAACGTCATACCAACGACCTGGTTTCTAATTGAAAGAATTTAGCTACTTAAGAACAACCCCAATTAAATTAGTCAAATAGTTGATTTTGTAAATCCTCTATTGATTTTTTAGTTTGAACCAACCAATTATAAATATTCGAGACTGATTTACCTCACTATCATCCTGAATCATAAGCTTGTGATCTTTTGTCAGCTAGAGTTAAAAGGTGAAGTTAAGCTTCATTTAGACAAAACATAGTCTGAACAAAAACCTAAACATACACTACAAGAAAACCTTGAAATAGCTACAAATTAAATACAAATTTTTTGGTGAATGGAAATTTGGAGTTAAGCATAACTACTTAAGATGTCGAGATATGTTTGATTATGGTGGGTATAATGATAATAGTGACAACGTAACATTTAGTTGTTATGGCCTATTGGTTGATTGATATGATGATATATATGTTATTTTTGTAAGTATATATGATGGGAAGAATATAAATTAAAGAAAAGAAATTTGGTTGGTTGTCAATGCCCACATATCAATCACCAATTGTTAACAAAAAGCTAGGTTAATGGAAAAAAGTTATGCCACTAAAATTAAAAATGAAAAAAAAAAAAAAAAAAACTGTTAATTAAAAAGCCATAAATGATGATGATAATAATACCTTTCTCTATCTACCACCCAACAAATCCACAAACTCAACTTGGGTGCCATGCGCACGTGCCGAGAATTCGTACAGCACGTGACAGGAGGGGGAGTGGAACTGTGGAAGTGCCACCACAGTCACCATTCCACTAGTGAGGGACTGAGGGAAGGCGTCGCTGTGACTGTGAGTCAAGCTAAGGTCTCCATGCACTAGCCCAAACCACCGGCTGATCTTTCCACGATAGGAATATTCCGGCGGATAAGTCGCCGGAGCACGGTGCCATTGTCCAGCCTTCTCTGTACCTTCGGAGCAGGGCGCGGACATCGTCGCAGACTTCGTCGCTGTAGGGAATGGGGGTGAAACCGGCTGCATGGAGGCGACGTGACCAGCGCTCCGCCGTCTCGCGCCGCTCGATGGACTGGGAAGGCGGGCACGCCACCAGGTCGACGATCGCTCGCCCGGCTTGCCTCTCCAGCATCAAACGCTCGTTGCTGGTCTTGGGGAAGCTCTCGTCCAGAGACTCGAAGTAAACCCTAAACCACCTCAGACATTCCTGGAAATCCCTAACGAAATCGAAGCCCTCAACTCCTACGTCCACGTTCGCTTCTTCTTCCACCACCGTCAAAATCCTCGGCTGCAGGCGCCGGAAAACGGATATCAAGTAATCCCGCCGGCTCCCCACCGCCGTGACCGAATGTAACGCGCCGACGGAGTTGATCGCCAGCGCTTCGTCTTCCTTAATATCAAGCGCGGATAAATCCAGGTCAGATAAATCGCCAGAATGATGAATAACGTTGAATTTAAACGGCACTCCCATGAGTCTACCGAACTTCTCCATCCGATTCCCGATCTCCTTCATAACCTTCTGGATCGACGCCGCGCCTCCGCTTCCACCGCCGCCGAAGGCTTTGTTAACCACCACCGTGGTGAGGCGGAGATGAGGCGTCTCGTCCGTCCGAGTAGCCAGAGCTTCAAGCAAAGTAGGCCACTGCGTGCAAAACGTGTTGCTAATATCAACAATATGCAACTTGCTCTCCCCTTCAAAAGCCTCCATGATCGCGCCGTTACAAGCGACGTGACCGAAAGTCGTCCACGGACTCACCTCCTGGAACTTCAACACCATCTTCCTGGTTGACTCGAAGGAGCAAGTCTTGTCGGAGGCCGACACCAACGACCGGTAAGTCCGATCGCCGGTATCCGTCATGCGGCTAAACAGCGCCTGGAGAAAGTAAGCCGCGAGCTTCTGATCAGTGTCGCCGTAGGGCGAGCTGAGCTCATTCAGCATCCACATCAGCTGCTGCACGCGGCCGCTATTCTTCTCCGCCACGGCACGCGCAGTCTCCACGAGAATCTCGGTGGCCCACTTCCCGGAAAACGCGGAACCGAATTCGAGATTAGGGTCGAACGTGGGCTGCGGGTGAGAGTAGGAGTGGGGAGGAGTGCTGCTAGTGGTGGTGGGAGTGGGGGTGTTGGAGAACTGTTGATACTGATGATGATGATGGTGGTAAGAAGATGATGATGGCGGGTATGGGTGCTTGGAAGAAGAAGAAGAGAAGTCATCTTCATCCATGAAAAAGTTGAAGCATTCTTCGTCTTCCTGGTGATGATGGTAATTATTGTGCCTGGAAGATCTTGAGCTGCTGGAAGTCCTGCTGGAGTTGAACGACTGATCGGATTGCTGAAGGCTCACCAGTCTAAACAAAGTATCCATTTAAGCACCACATCAAAGAATCACACCTACTACTTTCGATTTCTACTAATGAATATTTCGGATTGGACAAGGAAGCCGGGCAGACAGTATATATATATATGGAGTAGTAGATGTTTGAGACTTTGAGGTTAGGGACAACAAAACATAATTAGAGAGAGACAAGAGAGAGAGTAAAAATTGTTGCTTTTCTTTTTCATGGGTGGGGGAGGGGGAGGGGGAGGGTATATTTCTTGCTTGCTTTTGATGGGTGTTTCCTGGCTATTCTTTATTTGGGGTGTATTCAAATGTAGGAGGGATTCACTGAAAATGGGGTTTTACCAGTTTGGACATGGAGGAACAATATGGAGCTGAGCTTACACATATATTTTCTAATTATTTATATATTTCTGACAAAAGATCTTGATACTGAACATCATTATTTATTTTTTAAAAGACAACAATATTGAATAATGGATTAATAAAAAGTCGACATCAATAAAGTAGCATAGTGGAATAGCTTTCCATTTTCTTTACTTGGTCTTTCTTTTTCTTTTTGAGTTGGGGCGGCAAGCTACCTTTGCTACCCTCCCTACACAAAACCGGCCTTCTCAATAAAATCAATAATAATATTATTAAATAAACAATAATTAATAGTATACACAAGTTGCATTAAAATACATGTGCATGCTTTATAGTTGAAAGTTTCCATTTTTATTCCGTGTGATTCATTTTTAAATTTGATTTATGATAATTTATAAATTATAAAGAATTAAAATTTGAGTTTGTGATAATGGCTTATGAGAGAGAATGTAAATAAAGAGAGACAAAAAAGAAACATCATCAAGACATTTTGGCATATATTTGATACAAATAAACAAGGAGAAAAACATAACACCTAGTCTACTTAAAAGGAAAAAAATATAAATTTGTATTAGCTCACGACCCAATGGTGGGGTTGGGCAAAAGTGTCACCTTTGCCACCGAAATATATTATTTGTATTTATATCAATCATATTAAAATTAAATTCTCCTCAAGAGTCAAGACTAATACCAGTGTTAAATCGAGAGAAATGGGAATAATCATCCGAAACAAGAAGAAGAAGAATTTTTTAAGAAGAAAAATCCAAAATGAGCAAGCAGACAATAGAAGAATAATAAGGAATATTATATGTAACATATCGTAATTTGTAAATTAAATTGAAGTTGGCTAATAGGAGAAAGCAAGCGTGAGAAATGGGCAATGACTCGATGAGAGGGAGAGAGAAAGAGAGGGAAGACAAAGGGGAAAAAAAGCTGCCGGCGTGCATGATGATGATGATGATGAAACCCACCACTAAAGACCGAGAGAGAGAGAGAGAGAGAGAGAGAGAGACCATCATCAACCCAACCATTCACTCACATTCCTTTGCCTCCTAATCCCTCTCCAAAATCTGCCAAAAGAAATTGGTTACCTTTTTCCTTTTCCATATATACTACTCCAAAAACCCATACATGTGCATTTCATGTTTCCATACATATACTAAAACTTTGCACACTTATCCTAAATCCAGGGCATGCTCTTAACACTTTTTCTCTCAACCCAAAACAACATATATATGTGCACACTTGAATCTTGTAGGCTAGGCCATTTCCCCAGACAATGTAGATTCACCATCTAAGATAGTGGAAGGAATATCAATCTTTTTGCTTACCCAGTTTTGGCTATTTCTTTAGTGGTGCGGTGCCTTCTTTTTTCAACAATACTTTACCCCTCATTTGGTTACCCCAGCTCTTCTGATCTGGTTACACTTTGAATCATCAACCAACAGTAAGATTATATTGGATTCAAAACACAGTTTCCAATCAATCATATTGTATCTATCAACATATATGGGACAACTTAACAAGGATTCCAGACCTTCAAATCATTGCCCTTCACCCTTTCCTGTCTACTGTTAATTCTACCACAAAATACTTGTTCTAGATATTGTTATTCTTCTTCTTCTTGCCTTTATCTATCAATTTTTTTTATATGAATTTTCAAGATTGAACTTTTTATTTTTCCAAGAATGATGCCACGAGGTATTAATCGAGAGACATGTAATGACAAAAACAGAACAATGGACACCATTAACCAAGGTTCATATGTTATGTTGGGAATCCATTCTGGATAGTATATTTCACAATAAGTATTTTCTATTCAATTTTATCTTAAGAAAGTCGAACTAAATTGTTGATGTTAACAGCTCAACCAAAAGCTCTGAGACAAGACTTTTAGTAATAACATTTAAGTTAATCTGTTTGGAAGAGTATTATTTGATTATAAGAAAGCCATTAAAGAAAAAACAAGAAGAAGAAATTAAAATTATACCATGACTTTGGAGTTTACCACACAAGTATGGTTAACCAGAAGTAATTTTTTTCTGTGGGTACTAACTTTTTGCTTTAAAAAACATAGCACACAATAATTGAAACATTCTTCTCAAGTTTTGTTTTGTTTTATTTAGCTATCCAAATCATTCAAGAATTAACAGTAGAAAGAGCCATATATCTAGTTATCTAAGCTCCAAAGTGTACTATGTATTTTCCCCATGATTTAAAGGATGTTTCTTCACTTTCTTGAAAAAAATAGAAAATATATATATATTAAAAACAAGTAGCCTTCTTACCTTTAGGAGCAAGCAAATTCATTAGAGGGGATTGAACCAGGAGCCTGCAGAAGCCATTATTTCCTCTTGGAGCTGCTTTCAAATGGCATGCTTTTCGCTGAGTCCCACCACCATCACTGACTGGTTCCCATTACCAAGTGCTTGTATCAGCTTGCAGAATGCTAAAACCGACCTTTGTACAAGACCATCATGTGCAATCGTGGCTTTCTGGGTGATCTCTGCTGAGTTTACCATAATGCCTATCATCACACCTGCATTGTAGCTGGTTGTGAAAGGACTGTCATATTCCACCACAAAAGTTGCAAGCTAAATTAACTTCTCAATATGTTTGAACTCAATTTTATGTCAAGCTAAAAGTAATATAGTAAACTAAATAGTAATTGATAAGACTACAGCTAAAACTCCTAAAAGAGATGATCTTCTCTATATATGATATATCACTCACCCTTGGTCACAATAAACATCAGCATCAAATGGCTAAAAAGGATCCTCTGCACCCAAAAGCTGCACTACAAGCTTCCAAGAAAATAGCTGCTTCAGAAACAGAGCACCAAGTGATCTACAAAGTTAGCTTCAAGTTCTAAACTGAAAGTGTAACTGCTAGCATAATTGTAACATTTAAAGAGGAACTCAACCACAAGTCACTAATATTCTTGATTACACTGTTCTGAGGCCTCACTTGGAGGATTGTTATAACAAGAAAAAGGAAAAGATTGTCCACCTCCCAGGGGGTCAGGCATCAGAAGGCATGCATTAATGCATTAAGCGAACACCATCATATAGCTCATAAAGAAGTCCTGATTTCCACTTGAGCATCCAAATCCTTCCAATTCAAAAACCGATAACAGAATTTTTAAAGGAGCAGAAGTACATCCACCAAATGTATAGGTATGACCCACAAAAAATAAAATTCCAGAGTTTTGTTTCTCCACTGAATCAACTCAACTGCATTCGATCACAAATATCGGCAAAACTCTCACTTTAAGAATGAAATTATACAATTTTCCCAATGGACATACTCCTTTCCCAATAGCATATGTTACAAGTTACAACTTTGGTAAGTAAAAAACAAGGATATTCAATTTAAACATTTTTTCAAGTTTTTCTAAATCGCATCAAAAGGCATGGCCTGGAAACACAATTTGTGTGGTGAATACAAATTTCTGCTCAACATTTATCAACAAAGATCTGTCAATTATCACTCTTTGGTTGAACCCAGGCTGGATCTTAACAAGCCATTCTCTCAGAACCTTCCTGTTGGGCATCAGTAAACTACGTCGCACCTCCTGGCTGAATGCAAGGTAGTTTAACTTGCACAATATACTTGCAGAATTACCCCCAACCAGAAAAATTTTTGAATCCCGTGGAGGTACCTACTTTTCTCTTCTTTGATGAAGGAACTGGAGGAAGGCTATTAGAATCAGCTTGAGCATTCCTTGCTTTAAAGTATTTCCCAACACCACCACCAACAGCTAGAGTGTCTGTTCCTGTTCCAGGGTTGCTGTACCATGAGCCAACCTTATCCTGAAATGCAGCAGCAGAGTAAAACACGAAATTGTGTCTTATGAGATGAAGACATGAAGAACAAACATCTTAGGGGGGGATAGGATTAACAAACTTAACAAAGACTTATTAATAAATAGTTCAGATGCCAAATGCTCTAAGAAATTATAACTAACATTGTCCTCATCCTCAATTTTGTTCTCTGGTTTCTCCCCGTCTTCTTCATCATCAGATTCTGCATAGGGATTGACATACACCTCTATATCAATTATCTTGATTTCTTCCTGCATAAGAGTAGAAGGAAAAGTGACAAAGGTGAGAACTAAAAAGCAGAACTTTGGACTCATTGTTAAAAACAGCTTACTCAACCTAAATATCAAAACTAAAACAGCAAATACCAAACACATAAAGTCAACCAAAAAAAAACAAAAAAAAAAAAAAAAAAAAAATCAAAACAGCCTGAAACATGCTACAGAATATTAAGAAGCAGAACTTTGGCCTCAATGTTGCAAGCAGCAAACTCAAAATAAATATCAAAACTAAAACAGAACATAGAATAAAAAATAACACACAAATATGAAAGTAAAACAGCAAGACAAATGCCAAACACACAAAAAGTAAAACAAAACAAAAAGATGGTATGAGATGATTCATAAACCCAAAAGTACAATAGAGCAACTATCCATATTACTAAGAATTCAAGCTATGATGGGGCATAGACTGCACTTGAAGTAAAATCCAAAGGGCAAGCAAGTGAATAGAATTGTTGGAAATAAGCAATTGTTGGAAATAGGCAGTCATATTTACTCTACTCTAGGAAGTTGTAGTTTTGAGAAGAGGAGTAGTTTTTCAGCATTTATCATGCCCTTTCATATGCCTTTCTTTATGCCTATATATATGGTTGTAATTTGGAGAACTTGAGAGACATACAATGAAATAAAGTATCATTTCTTCCTCTTCCCTCTATTGTTTTAACAAGAATTAAAAGACCCAAGAAAGCCAAATGCACTGCACCAAGTATCCACTCAATTTGTCAGGGTGAAAATAGAAATCCCTACTTAAATTACATAACACTGACAATGAAACATACTCTTCATTAGCAGATAGGCTCAGAACAGAAAAGTGAAAATGCAAAGCAAAAGAATAACAGAATTCCTACTAACCAGAGGGCGGTCATTGTCATCAACAGGGACCTTCTCCATTGCTGAAAGGGTTGTCAAACCTCCAACAACCATACCGAAAACTGAGTGTTTGTAATTTAAATGATTTGCAGACTTGTACAGGATGAAAAATTGAGAACCATTTGAATGCGGGCCTGAGTTTGCCATGCTAACAACACCTCTTCCTGAATGTAACAACTTGGAGTTCACTTCATCTTTGAATGGCTTTCCCCAGATAGACTCACCACCTCTTCCTGTGCCAGTAGGATCACCGCCTTGAATCATGAAATTCCTGAAAGATATTGATGGATAAGTTTTTCGATATTCAAGCAACAAACGCTGATAATTGGTTTATTAGTTGGGTACTTTAAGAGAGAAGTTAAAGTACCGAATGTTTCTGTGAAAAGCCACTCCATTATAATAACCACGTTCACACAAAGTGATGAAGTTCTCACACGTTCTTGGTGTCATATCACAGTGCAGTTCAATGTTTATATCACCATGTGTTGTCTGCAACCGAACATAACCTTTCTTCTTGGGGTTTTTCTCAACTTTGACATATTCATATTCATTTTTCGTCACAGGATCATAACTGGTAGAAGTGAAGGATCGTGAAGCTGCACCAGATGTGAAACGACTCTTAACCTGAATGCATTTAAAAGAAGAGTAAGTCATGTTAAAATGAAAAAAATATCTCTAGTATTGCTGTTAGTGTTTCTTATCCAATATGGGTGATGTTAAAAACACTAACCAGTTTAGCATTTACTGGTGTCCTTTCTCCTGCCATGTGCAAAGCAATCCGAGCAGCAGCTTTATCGCTAGAAGCAGACTTAGCAGCAGCAGCACTTCTTCCATGAACTGATGCAGAAGCCGCATCTACAATGCTGAAAGTTTGTTTAGGTTGACCTTCACCATTTTCATCTGATTTGTCTTTGATACGTGATCTGGCATCTAAAATGGCAGTAAGCGCAGCTGCTCTTTCATTTTGTGCCTTGCTCCCACCTCCACCATGCAATGCAATCTCCTTTGCTTTCTCAGTACCAAGATCCTTTAGCATTTGTTTGATATCCCCGGTAACATTTATATTGTAAGTTGGTTCAGATTGCATTTTCTTCAATTCTGACAGCATACAAAAAAGAGAAACTAAGTATAGAGATGCATGTGCAGATGGCTACGAAGAAAGAAAGAAGCTGAATTACTCACCTTCATCATCAACCTTCAAACTTTTTTTGACATGATCAAAATCCACAAGCACCCTGGTGTCCAGTGCATTAGGATTCTACACACATATCATCATACATATGGGTGACTTTTTGGTCAGTTAAACTTAAACAACAAACAGTAGAACAAAAGGGAATAATCTAAAGTGAAAGGTTACCTGAATTGTAATGAGATCTTCTTTAGTAAATGGTTCATCAGTAAGAAGTTCCTTCCAGTTCTTCGTTTTGATGTTTAATTCTTTAATTGCCTGTGCAACAAGGTTACTTACAAATATTACATTTAGCAGACTAAAGCGTGCAGGTAATAGAGCACTTGTAATCAAGGGAAGACGTATATACCTCATAACAGAAGACATTGCCTGTAGTCTTTACAGCAACGATGTGGGTAAATTCTGTAAAGACCTTGTTCAAGACAGGACATTGGAACTCACCTAAAAAAATATAATTAGCATCTTTCATGAAATAACAATTCCACCACATGATCATTATGAAATACATCATAGAAACTTGTTCACTAAATACTGATGATTCAAGTTTTCTAGCTTCGAGGTTGTACAACATACACCTAGCTGCTATACAGAAATTATAACTCTGAGTAACTTAATGAAGTGCAATTGAACACCCAACATCTTAATATACTCTGTAAATCTGCATCAGAATGACAAAGTTGGATACAAGTCATTACCTTCTGTGTTCTTGTGGAAAGTAAGCGGAATAAGCTGCTCTAGCTTTAAAGGAACCCCTGTAACTGGATGCTTTCCATATTTCCTAATGTATGGCATTATATTCCTAAGAAATTCGAGGACCAGACTAATTAACACTCGTAAAAATTCACAAAGAGAAGAGGAAAGTTCAGAAGCAGAAATACTGACATTAGGTCAAAAACACTTCCATCTTCGGTGCACACGGGGTCTTCGAAAGGCGTAAATGTAAGCCTGCGTTCATAGAGTAAAGAAATTAAGCTAAAAAAAAAAAAAAAAAAAAAGGTTATGTGTTTGGGTAAGCTAGGAAGAATAGAGAACGGGAGCTTACGCGCAGCAATAGAAGGGTAGACGTTTGAAAGGAGTACGGAGTTCCTTTGATTTAGCGCCACCCCACTCGGTAGCCCATTCGGTCTTCGTTATGAACATTCGATCTTTACTGTGCTGTTTCTTCCCCATGGCGGTGCTTCTCGGGCTCGGAAGTCAACGAACAATCGTTGTTTTGGGAGAAATTCGCTCTGTAAACCTTCTTTTAAGTTTTAAGGTCCGCGACCGGCGACACTGTTGGTTCCCGTCGCCGTCTACGAATTTTTATCTGGATGCCCGGACCGGGTCAGTCTTTAAAATAAATTTGGGCCTGGACCGGCCCGGCCCATGGGCATTCATTAAACAACCCACGTATTCTGTATTCAGGACAGTGAAAGCCGAAAGACTTGAGCCGTAATGGGTGGTGGCCGGAGTAGCAGCAGCAGCAGCGGAGAAGAAGACGGTGATGCTGATTGGAGAGCCGCCATAGATTCTCTCGCCGCCACCACAGCCTTTAGCAGCTCCGCCGCCGTCAACGGCGGCCTTCATTCGGGTACCCGTGAATATGAAACAGACACTCCGAAACCTCAAAACCTTAAGCACTACCAAATCAAGGTGCTCGCTTATTTTTCTTTGCAACAGATTAGTCGAAACAAGCTTTTGCCAATTTCTCTCGATTCTGATTATTACACTTTTGAGTCTCTGATTGTGCATGAATGAATTTTCTCTGCACTTCACATCACTATGCTTAGAAATTAGAATGGTGGATTAGCAGAAAATACCTCAGTTTTATCTATAATAATTGCCCCCATTTAAACTGCACTGTAAAAGCAGGCTGCTTCTTCTCTTCTTGTTCTGTACACTTGCCTTATGAATGGCAGGCCCAGAAGCTTTTGGAGGACATTATAGAGAAGACTATAGAAGTAGTAAGCGACACAGGCGATGTAATGCTTGAAGAGCCTATCAGGAGCAGTGAAGGTGGAATTAGGCTGTTTAAGCATGCTCCTGCTGGGATAGTGTTTGACCACACAAGTGAGAAATCTCATCAAAGATTCATTTCTCTGTTTTAGTTTGCTCCAATTTGGATGTAACTGTGGTGTTAACTTGCTTGCTTCTCAGATGAACTTAATAAATCGCGAAAGAAGCCAAGAATTCTTCCTGTTCCAGAAATTGATGAGAGATCAAAGGAGGTTTGTATTTGCATTTTGCACCCAAAATCTAATTTATCACTCTTTCTGAACCTCAATTTTTTCTGAGCAGTTTAGACACCAGATCAAATCTGTTGCAGTTGATGGGACAGACATAATGGCTGCAGCTAAAGATTCCTCTCAGAAATCTTTGGCTAAGCTGGAAGCAAAAGACGCTGCTGCCAAAGCAGCTAAACAAAGAGAGGAAGAACGTGTTGCAGAGCTAAAAAGAATAAGAGGCGAGAGATGGCTGCCTTCTATTGCTCGAGATATGCAGCAGCTAAATCGCAAAAGAAGTTGATCCACTGATGGTGGGCTCTTCCTGCTAAACTAAATTTGTCCTTAGAATGTGCATTTTGCTTGCTCTGTGTATTCTGCAGTATTTTACCAATTTGTTACACTAATTCAAGAAACAAAAGGTATGCATTTGTCATATGCAGTGAAATGAGATTGATTACTCGAATGAGATGACTTCATTTATTCCATTATCATACAACTTGTACAAGAGTTTCAACACTGGAAATTTGAAAACCATACATAAAGTTCACACTATTTCAGGCCTATCTACTACCAAACACTAGCAAGCATAAATGTCACAGGCAGTGACGATGCAATGCATAAATGATTTTACATTTTCTTTTCTTTATTCAATATTGAATTAAGCATTAAGGAAACGCGAGATTTCCTTACTGCAAAACAAATAAATGCACGGGTACATGGCATACAAGGATGGAAGATCTATTGACATGGACTTAGCCCGTTAGCCATGAGGCAGCTAGCCAGCTATGTTTTCAGGTACCCCTTTTCCTCCAGGTAAGAGATCACAACCTCAGCCATATCATATGGAGAATCATTGAATCCACGGTTAAGCCTCAGCACTATCTGCAAATAAAAAGACCCAAAGCAACACGTTTAAAATTTAAGAAAATCGGATTATTCTGTAATGGATATATCATATTGTCACTAGTACAACCAAGGAATGCACTTCTGTATTTTACAAAAGGCAAACCGTACCTCTGAATTCTCTGGTGGCTCATATGGATCGTCAATACCAGTGAAACCTACAGACATTAGTGATGATGGTTAATATCATGCAGTTTATGTCTCACTTTTTTAGCCTGAAATTAAGATTTTAATTAATTTAAATGAACTCTTGTTTCCTTTTATACGCCATGAATAAACTGAGCCTGCATAAAATTGAGACCAAATAAAATATGCACAGCACCAATTGGCAATGGCTTACATAAAAAAGCCTTGATGTGGTCCAAATGTACTTATACTCCGATGCTCCTCAATTTTTTGAAATAAATTAATAAACCCAAGGCACTAAAATGTAATGATTTAGATTAACAATAAATACTTAAATCACTTCTCTAGTAGGGTAAGTAAAAGGAACAGAATTGAAGTTGCTTTGAGACAACTGCCAATTTGTAAAGGAAAAAATTAGTGTTTTTTCATCATGGTGTCTACTAGAGATGACAAAAAGAGAGACACCTTTTATTTTTCCTGCTCGGGCAAGTTTGTACAATCCCTTGGGGTCTCTTGCCTCACAAACATCTAAAGGCACATCCAAGAATACCTAAAAGTGGAAAAATAATACATGAGATATTTCTTGACTGTAATAAGCAGCTTCTAGTTTTAAATGTCCTGTACTGTTTGAATTCCTTGTCATAAGTGAACAACAACAGAATAAACAGAAGTTAAACCTCAATGAAATCTCCTTCTGGAAGTAAAGCACGACAAGCATCCCGCTCCTTTCTGTATGGAGATATCAAACTGACAATGCAAATGACCCCAGCATCTGCAAAAAGCTTTGCCACCTCCCCTACGTATTGAGCAAAATCAAATGAAATTTTGTCTTCAAAGGACATGTAATAAGGCTTTAAAATTTAAAATTTAAAAATAAAAAAAAAAACACATAAACAAGACCAAGTTAAGAACCTACCAACCCGTCTAATGTTCTCTGTTCGATCTTCTGCCCTAAAACTAAGATCACTACTCAGACCATGGCGGACATTATCTCCATCCAGAATGTAAGTAAGCTTTCTCCGAGCATGTAAGCCTCTACTTAGAGCACATGCTACACTGCTCTTTCCTGAAATGACACAACAAAAGAATAGCATAAGCAATGTCACCATTTTAGAAACAAGGCAGACTATGTGATTTGATGGTGAAGTTTTTTCTTTTTTTTCCCCTTCTCATTACAGCATGTACAACAGTAGACTAAAATTACCTCACCAAGATTGCTCCTTGTAAGGTTCAAACCCCTAAAATTTTTCGGTCAAAGGCACTGGCCTCAAGGTCTTTGCCGATTAAGCAAGGCCTTGAGGCTAGATAGTCAAGATAAAGAATGAAGCCTTTATGATATATTAGAAACATGATATGATTGATATCAAATTCACAGAAAAATAAGGAAGCAAGACTATTTTGAGACTTGGGAGAAAGGTAGACATACAGATACCCAAAGCAGAAAATGATGGTTAAGTCAAATTCCTAATCTAGGAACAAACCTGAACCACTGAGACCAGTAATCCATACAACACAGCCCTTCTGCTGAAGCAACTCCTCCCTGTCACTCCTCTCTACCGAGCATTTGTGCCAAAAAATATCTGTAGAGTTCCCAACTGTATAAGCCTGAAGCCTTTCTTTACCTAGACAGTTAATCAGAAACATCAGCAGTGAAAAGATTCTAAAAATTAAAGTTGCCTTAACTAGTCTGCCTAATTAGGTATAATGTAGTCAACACTAGCATCAACTTCTTTCCAATCGATATCAGCATGCTTGTAAGCATTTAACATTTTAACGTTTTCTTGTGATAGATAAAATGGAAGTGTGAAAGGTGATAACTTTTATGTTTACTAATCCACTTTTGCTTTGAAAATAGGAGTCAAGAGAAGGGAATTAAAATAAATTAATACCAGAGAGACCATCACAATCATTGACGAGCACGTCCTGCTGGGAGCCGCACCCAGACGGATGAGAATTTTCGTTTTTATTGCCATTGATTTGCGAAGATCTAGAAGTTTCAAGTGCCCTAATTGGGCCAATAAAGCGGGATTTCACCTCGCCGCCAGTAATGGAGGAGCTGAAGCCTTTGCCTACGCCGGAATTACACCCCAGCAACTTCAAAAACCCTACCTTTCCCGATTTTGACGACACAAAGTAAAATTCCGGCGACCGAGAAAAATTAAGCAATGCTTTAGTAGCCGCCATCTTTCCGAATCGCAAGGTATATAGCCAATAAACACTCTGGTAGTCTGGTACTGGTTTTCACCAAAAGAGAGGGAGATGAAAAGGTAGCAATTAGAAGGCGTTACGGAAGCGCACTCAATTATTTGAGGTTTTCCAGCTCATTTTAACATAAAACACAAAAATAGTCGAAGATTGATTAAGACTTGTGTGCAGATATATTTATACAGAAAACATGCACGGTTACAGAAAGCTTGAATGGAGAGACTAACGGTTATGGGAGTGGCGGGAGAGCTGGTGGTTGAGCAGTCAGGTCAGGTGAAGAGGTAGCTCAGGTACGTACGAGGTGGACTTTGTCTCCAACAATTATTAGGGGGCGTTTGGTTCAGGTTATATAACATAACCAAGGGAATGTGACATTCCAAAGCTCACATTCCTGTGTTTGGTTCACATTATCTCAGGGAATCTAACATTCCCTAGGAATGTCACATTCCCTCCACATAGGATTTTGAAGGGAATGTGATTCTCTTCCATTTCTAAGGTTATGTAAGATAACCTTGGTTATGTTAGTTTATCTCACACACACACATATAATTATTTTTGTAATTATATATTTTTTTATTTTTATTATGCTAGGTTAGCATATAAAATAATTTTGTTTCTCAAGTTCAATATTTTAGTTAATATTTTAAAATCATGTAATTATATATGATACCGTTATCTTATTTACTTATTTTAATTTTAAAATTTATTAAAATATATGAAAATATGTTAAGGATATTGTAGTGTGTGAATAAAAGATAACCCTAAACCAAACATGATTATATTACATACCCCAATTTTAACCAAACACAGGAGTCTAACATTCCCAGTAATCTAACATTCCCAGCAATCTAACATTCCCTAAGGTAATCTGACATTCCGTGAACCAAACGACCCCTTAGGGTGTTCATAATTTGGTGAAAATTAAATGAATTGAATTAATAAATTTTATCAATTATCATGTAGTGTGATAATATTCTGATTATCTTCTACTTCTACTATCTACTATATCTTGTATCTATCTACTATCTACTATATATATATATATAGGGTGCCATTCACATGCAAACCACCTAAAAATAAAAACGTGCAGACAAAAAATAACCATTAGATGTGATAAGATGAATGGATTAGATGGATTCTGAAGATGGGCACACAGATTGCTAACTTATAAACACAAGGGCAAAATGGTGAATGCAACAACACACGTAAAAAAGGGGAGCAGTTGTAGTTGTATACCATCTTATAATTAAGGGATTCTAATATTGGAAGGATTAGAACACCCCACGTAAACCGCAAAAGACTTCCGCACCTGAAAAACCTTCTCCGACATTCAATCATGGACGCCAGACCAGACTCCATCGACGACTCAAGCATCAGAAATTTCAACGGCAACTGCGACTCCATGGATGAAGCACCACCAGGTAATTACACTTGTATTCGAGTGCTATTATTCAATGTTGACTTATTGAGGAAGAACAATGTGCGGTGCAATGTGTGTACATTAATGTTTGGGCTTTAAAGTAGTGCACATGTGCATTGTGACAGACCTGTAGGGTGGGGTATTGAATTATGTGAATTCAAATCTGCAAATACAAAAATAATTAGTATGGCAAGAATAGATTGTTGGGGGGTACGGTTCGTTGAGATTAGTGAATATAATGCACACTGGATGCCATTGCTTGAACACAATACACATTCACAGATAGGTTTGTTTTAAGATATGTAATGCAAATTTGCTACCCAACAAAAGTATGGAGATAATACGACGATCAGGGCGGGGTTCGTGCATATTAGTGAACCATGTGCACCCAGTTCTAGGCTAGCATGAACACCACTATCCATAGATTGGAAACATTGTGAATTCACATATTTGACAGATTTAATACACGCAATATTAACAGTGCTGCCAGTCACAACCAATTATACTTGAATTTACGCAATTGTAGTGATACCAGTGCACCCAGTGATATTGAAGCATGCACACTAGCGGCCATAGCTTGAAAACATTGCGAAATTTGGCAGTTTAAATACATGTAATATTTACAATGCTAGCAGTCAATCAGGACTAATTATACTCGATTTCATGCAAAACACCCTTTTGAAATACAGGCAATCAACGTAGTGAAGCCGAACCAACGGAGTGCAACATGGTTGTATTACCCAACGGAACGAAACAGTGGCTACCTAACTACAAGAGCGAAAGCACGCCGTACATTGGGCAAGAATTTGCATCACTAGAAGACGGAATAAACTTCTACCAACCATACGCATCAATCGCTGGATTTGATATCAGACACGGCACGAAGCGACTGAATAGGGAAGGGGCAGTTCACCTCAAACACATTCTATGTTCACGAGAAGGATACAAGCCAAAAAAAATAGGTAGCACCGTGGCGGCGGACAAAGGAAACAGCACAGAACCAAAGAAAAGGCGCCGGCTATCAAACCGAGTTGGTTGTAAAGCCCGGATCGTGTTCACAAGGCGCAAAAGCGGCAACTATAAAATCCACGCACTTGAGCTATGGCACAAACACTGCCTATGTTCTGACATTGGAAAACCATTTTTGAAAATAAATAGACAGCTGGATATTGGACACAAAATTTTCGTAGCAAACTGCGCAAGGGCAAACATTGGTTCCACAAAATCATGGAGACTATATAAAGAAATGGTTGGTAGTTTTTCAGATATAGGAGCGACATCCGCTGATTTCTGCAATTTTAGGAGGGACTTGTTGGCTTATATAGCTGGAGCAGATGCACAAATGATAGTAGACGACATGTTCAAAAATAAAGAGATGGAACCAGACTTCTATTTCGATTTTGATCTCAACGAAGAGAGGGAGCTCTGCAGGCTATTCTGGGCAGACACGATATCCCGGAAGAATTTCGCATGTTTTGGAGATGTGATGTCATTCGACGCAACGTACAACACGAACAGGTACACCTCACAACGATTAATATATCTGAATTTAATACAAATGTTTTACGATACGTGTTAATACTCTCAAAACACATGTGTGCATGGCTGCCTAAGACTATATGCATTGAATGGACACGGGATAAACTACTCGAAAACAGTAGTGGTCGAACAATTGGCTATTGAGTAAAATAGGGGGGTGCATGACTAATCTTGACTGCGTGTATGGGGCAAATATTATTCAATTGTGCGAGACTATTCTACAGTAAAAAACGAATATTCATTACAGCCGTGCAAGCATGACGAATTTATTGATAACATTGTCATTTACCCTGGTCTGGAAAAAACTGTAAACTTGTGAGTTAGGCATAGTGTGCACACCAATGAATTGTTGAATGCATGGTAGTGGGTTTGAACGTCCATTCGTACCTGCGGTGTGAATATACAAGTTCATTATTGTTCTATATATTTCAGTATGCAAATCTATTATTATTATTATTATATGTGTGTGCACTAATTACGAGATAATATAAACCCCACAGATACAAGCTCGTCTTTGTACCGTTTACCGGAGTCGACAATCACAAACGAAGCATTACATTTGGGGCAGGCCTCATTGCACGAGAGGATGTGGAGTCATACGAGTGGCTATTGAAAAACTTCAAAAATGCGATGGGATATACGCCAAGATGTGTTATTACTGATCAAGACCCGGCATTAAAGATCGCCATACCTAACATTATGCCTGAAACAAGGCACCGATTTTGTATGTGGCACATCATGGAAAAAGTGGGGGACAAGGCCGGGAATGCACTGGCAAAAAATATGGAGTTTAGGAAAGCACTGAACAACACAGTATGGGATGAAACTTTATGTGCAGCTGAATTCGAATTGAAATGGGCAGAGGTAATGAAAAAATACAACCTTGTTGAACATCGGTGGTTCGACCAAATGTACAAGGCACGTGAATCATGGATACCAGCATATTTCCAAGATATATTCATGGGAGGACTACTCAAAACAACATCACGATCAGAATCAGAGAATAGTTATTTTGGAAAATTCACCAATCACCACAACAGCTTGGTAGAGTTCCTAATGCAATACAATCGCGCCATAGGAGAACAACGACATAACCAGCAAAAGTTGAACGCAGAGAGCGAAAGTTCATTCCCTGAAACCAAAACCCCATTGGCCATAGAACGCCAAGCTGCTGCAATGTACACCAAAAACATATTCTATGACTTCCAGGCAGACATATGGGAAGGAAGCTTCAAATGCAAAATCACCTGGGGAGGGATTGAAAATGGGGGCCGGAAGTACATTGTACATGAGGAGGGTGGAAAAATGTTTGAGGTAACTCACGAAGCAGCTACCCACAAAACAGAATGCAAATGTAACAAATTCAACAGAGTAGGAATTGTATGCAAGCACGTGTTGGCCGTGTTCAAGAACGAAGGCGTGGAAGAAATACCAAGATGCTATATTACCCCCCGTTGGACAAAGAATGCATGCGCCCAGCCAATGTACAACGTCGTGTGGAAAGCATGCAGTACTACGCAAGGTGGGAATGAATTACGAACAATTGCCAACCAACTTTGGAATGAATTCTACAATTGCATGGGTTTGGCTAATGGATGCGCAGACGAAATGGATATAATGTTGTCAACAATGCAGGAGCTTAAAGGGAGGCTACAAAGTGCCAGACAACAAACCAAAACAAGCAACACCCCACAATCAGTGATTGAATCAATACTAAACACCACTGCACCTGCCGAGATACAAATCAAGCCACCCAGCATAGCAAAGAACAAGGGCAGTGGGAAAAGATTAAAAAGCAACAAAGAGAAAGCAATTGAGAAACAGACGAAAAAGGTGAGGACATGTGCTACCTGTGACCGCCCAGGCCACGACAGTAGGAATTGTCCAAACAGAAAAGTCATACCAAACGAGCAGACCGGCATGGCCGACACCACTACGAATACTATTTCATTTTAAAGTTAAATTAAGTACGTGCCAAAGTTTTTATTTTTAGACACCATTCGTAGTTAGTTCAGTATTTATTCAGCTATGCAAACTATATACCATCATTGCGCACCCATAGTTTTAATAAATAAGCCTACACAGTTATAGCATACTACAGTTAGACTTGTGCACACTGTTTGATAACTATGTGCACACACAGTTTAGTGCTTAGTGAAATTTATTTAATTTTAAGCCATCTTTGAAATATGTTCAGTTGTCTGCGTACAGTAATTAAAGCCACGAATTTAACAATACTCGTATAGAAATAAAATTAAACTACCCTAATTTAAAGTCTACTCTCGAAAACTACATTATTTCATTGCATCATGCACACTGAAACCCACCATTGCGCACACGCGTACATAGAGAGTAAATCCTATACGGTAATTAAAAACCCCACCCATGCTTGAAACATAGTTACTCGTGCACTCGTGCATTTCAAAACCGAGGAGGTAAAGATAATATTGAACCCGCCACCTTTGGATAATTTATCAACTATTTGTACATGCACACAATTTAACGCAAACATCATAACATAATATTGAACTATCCACCTCCACGAAATGTATTTAATTAGAATACCCAACTGAAATATTCATACGAAAGCCAGACCATAATGGACACTAAGACCTTAAGAAAAACCATGATTTTAAGAACATAAATTTAGTAGAACTAAACTGACAATCGGGCTCCCATAACCCAGTATGTTGAAATGTCGTGTCAGAACGTGGGTGCACTCCCACGTAGCAAAACAAAAAATAAATACCGAACTAGAAGTGGTTCCAACAACAAAAATACAGTAACCAGCGGTAAACGGTATACCAAAGCAAAAAATGTAACCGGCAACAAATTAACAACAATTCCAAATTAAAATCCAAGCCAACTTGCATACGGAACACCACTACGGACCCGACGGGAGCGATGAAACAAACTCATACGCCCGAGGGATATTGAACCACCTAAGTAGGTTGTACTCTGACGTTACAATCTCCTTCATGTAGCGCAACCTCAACTTCTTGAGCTGAGTAGTGTTACCTTTACTAAGGCCACACCTCCATCTGGTCACTCCTTGCCCCACATAACTCTCCATGTGCCGCATGACATAAACCCCAGAATCAACCTTATTCCTTCCATCGCGCCAACTCATCTGCATGCGCTTCGGTTCCAAGCACGCACACATCGTAGACCTCCCAGGATGAATTATTGTAAAGAATTCCATAAGCATTCCCAACTGCAACAAATGTCAATACCCCCCGAATGAAACCCAACAAAAACAAAAACTGCACGGACAATAACGTATAACTCATGGACCAAAGGAAATCATACCAAATCGTCCAAACAATCGCCATATTTCAACTTCTTATCAGGCTGAAGCGTCGAATTGTCAATTATATCATACCGGAAATTGCGAAAATCAATGCACAGCAAGAAATAATGGCCCTGACGTAGCATAGGGAACATAAACTGCATAAACGCAACGGGGCACCAATTGAAAAAGAAATGATTAAAAAACACATCCCAAGACATAACGGAGCTATACCATGACACCTGTATGCACACTAGACAAACAGAATGTGCAAAGCAGTAAAACAACAAGCAGATCGAAAGCAAACACCTACAAAAACATACGTACCAAGTCAACCTCATAAATGTAGTGGTACGGCGACATCTCAAAGTCCCTCTGCAGCCTATCCTTGAACATAGCAATACGCTTATCACGATTATCAGAGGTATCCACAACAGTATGAAGCTTCAAAAGGAAACAAAATTAGAACAATAAAAAAACATAAACATAACAAAAACCTTTAGGCCATGAAAATATGTAGACACTAACCGTGGAATAAGTAGATGCAAAAAAACGAGATGGGGCAGAAGGGGCCTTAAACCGCTCACGACAATTTAGGAGACACGCCCACGCATCTACAACAGCAGCCTCAACCAAAGACCCGGGTGCCAACGACAACAAATCTGCCCACCGCACACCCCTACCACCAACATCAACCAAAATTTGCTCCCTAAAATGAAAAAAAAAAAAACACACAAAAAATCAACCAACCATACAAGAACACAACATGAATACGACAAATGCATTCAAACACTAACATGTTTCCCTCAGCTGCACACAACAACCAATTACAAATCACCGCCTCATCAGGATCCTCATAGTTAGGCACCAACCCACGGTGATTACAATCGCTCACCCCCATATTCAGCCGCGAAACCCGCGCAGGCAAATCATTCGGCTGTCGAATACCCCCCCTACAAGCTTTAATAGGGGCTTGACACCTAGGGCCATCTGACCGATACCCACTGGGCTCACCACCACCATGTATAGACGGCTGCACAGAAACATGAAAGGATTACTCATCTAAACAAAAGTAAAAAAAGCATAGTATATCACATGCAACGCCCAAGCAAAACAAGAATACGTACAACAGCCTACATATATAAACTACAGCGCACATACCAAGGCAGCCTCGAGAGGTGTACACATTGGCGCATCCCGCTGCGCACGTCCACTAAAATCCCCCAGCGCACCTCCCTCAGACACACGTCGAGGAACGCCAGACACCCCATCCATAACCATTGTAGAAGCACGCGCCTGAGCATCCCCACCCTAGCAAACAACGCAAAAAGAGCACCGCATTGAGGCAAATATATAGATAAAAGCAGTAAAACCTATGTGCACACAGATAACCGCTGAAATGCACACAGCAGCATGGTAGTACAACTGCGTCCACACAGGAATGAAACCAGTTGCACATCTACCCACTAACAAACACGTTACATACCAAACACTCAATGGCAGGTGAAGATACCCCATGTACAACCCCTCCCGTGCCATCACGGCCATCCACTTGACCAAGACCACCCTAGCATACACAAAACCAATGCAAACAATAATGACGTAAAAAATAGAAAGACCAAAAACACTAAAAGCCACACATCTGACTGAATGCCCAAGATCTTAGAGTATAATTCTGAAAAGATGAAAGCAAACTTGAAAAACTAACCTCAACAACAGAAACCGGGCAACAAGTACTACGCGAAGTTAAGTCGCGCACCGTATCCCCAATATCAACCCGACCATGATCAGGAAAATCCTGCGATATACCTAGACTAAATGACGGAATGTCACCGAACACAGCAGACTCACGAATGGGACGGACCTCTCGAAGTGACTTCATTGACTCAAACACCTCTCGAAGCACCTCGCCATCAAACACACCATTCGGCCCCTGCTTCACCAACTGATCCAAGCCTGACACCTCCCTCACCACCATCTGTATTTTTTCTAATACCGCATCTTCAAATGACTACCGCAAAAAAAAAAAAAAAAAAAAAAAAAAAAAAAGAAAAAAAAAGGACAAAGTAAATAACAAAACATAAAGTGAATAGCAACCACCACTATTGCAAACATTGGGAGAACACATAGTATAAAATGTGTGCACAACTATAACATACACATAAGTAAACCATCAACAAGAACATCCATACCATCGGCCCATACTGGACAGGTGAAGAGAGGGCAGGTTGTACCGGCAGATCAATGACACCACGGCCAAACCCACCAGACCGAATCTCAGAAAACTCACGCTGACGCAGAAGGGGTGATGACCACCCACAAAACGTAGGAATAGCCCGAGGGACCGCACGAGCAACGTGCACCACACGATCAACATAAAACAACTAAAAAACCCCATAAACAAAAATAAAACTAATTGTTAAGACACAGTGGGCAACAACAAACATAAAACACCAAAAACGAATTAAAAAAACACAAACACTACCGTAACAAACTCAGCTGGCCCAAGGAAGAACTTATGCCGACCAGAACGCCAAGCAGTCTGCGTCTCAACCAACGTGTCGACCACAAGCTTGCACCAATTTAACTCGCGGACACTAGCCACATCCTCAAAGTGGTGAAAATACATCTGGTTAGCATAGCCATTACACATACAAGAAACAAATGTTGACAAAACCAACATAAGAAAATGGCGCTTAAACCAAAGGCCCCCATCCACCTCGGCAACCATCCTCACACTAATCTCCGCTGGGGTAACCCTGTGCCTTCGCTTCTCAAATAACCCCCTCCAGTGTTTCAATGTGTTACTAATCTTAAGCTTATCCCGCTCAACCATATCAACCCGCCCCCGAGGGAACCCCAAAACTAACTCTACATCACCCTCATCTACCGCCAAAGATCTACCCCCACCAAGATCAAATGACTTTGACTGAGCATCAAAATTATACAACAGCCACCGCAGAAGGCGCGGTGGAATATCCTCAACCTTGAACTCAAGCAACGCCCCAAACCCAAGCTCCCGAATATCAGACTTCTGCTGAAAGCTTAAGTCCTTCAAGGCGTTAACAAGTATCACAGACTGCCCCCGCATCTTCGCTCTAGGATACATAGCATCTTCCTCCCCAGAGAGTTCATAATCGGGAGCATCCTCCTGTGGTGGTAGTTGCTGGGCCCTGGAATGGATAACCCTAGGCGGCGACACAAAGTCGCTATCATCATCAGATATTCCCGAAGGGCCAGCATCTGAATAGGCGCGCTTGGACCTTTTAGTTGCAAATCGAGCCACACCAGAAAAGTATATGGCCCACCAACAATTCCAAATAAGATTAAATAGTAGTAAAAACTATGCAAACATTCACACACAGTACTGCACACACCTGAGTACAACTGGTGAGCTGTCGTAGGCTTCCAAATTAAAACCTTACAAACGTAGTAGCGGGAGTAAGGATCGATCCCACGAGGAGTAACTAGTTTAACTTTTGTGCTCAAATTAAAGGTAGGGGGGTTTGGAATATATCGAGAATAAAGATAAAATAAAAGAGAATTTAAATAAACAAGAAATTTAATTGAACGAATAAAGCAATGAAAATAATTTATCGAAAACACTTATAATAGGAGACCTTGGTTAGTAAAGATCCACCACCGGAATTCAACACTGATCAATGAT